AAAATTAACTATCTTTCGGATCGGTATTTTCTTTAGCTCTTTTTTTTTTTTTTTTGGGTACATTCTTTAGCTCTTTATAATAATTTGATTTCACAAGTATTCGGGGTATGATTATAAGTTTAAGGAAACATATTGTATGTTCAATGGAAAATGCAAAACATAACGATTTTTATTTTCCAGTTCAGAGAGAGAGAGAGACTATGTACGGACAGTAGACGGTATACCACTTGTTTGGAAGAAAAAAAGCAGGTGACCATATTATTATGCCTAGTTCAAAGAAAACGAACCACCAGCGAATATTTTGTTGTTTTCACCTTATGAATACTTTACTCCAACTTATTTTTGTAAGTTCTAGCAAGAAGAAATCATGTCACTTAGTAGTATAGTGAAAGATAATTTTGGCATATTCGATCTTTTGACCCCATTTATATGCTTACATTTTAATGAACCGAATTACATATATAGTTATCGACAGTAAGTACTATATAAGTATATAATAAAAAAAAAAATCACAGACAATTGAAATGTCTATCGTCAAAGAGGAAAATTAGTCACTGTTATTGACGCAAATATCCTATAGTATAAAAAGAAAAAAAAAATCCTCAGAGAACGAGATTTGGTTTCGGGTGATGTAATTAATATCAAGGGCATGAAAAATGGAACAAGTCAAAGGGACACAGTGCATCAATGGCGTTGTAGAGTTGTTGGGTATTATTGATACATATTGAAAATTCATTTAAAGTTAAATACTATAAATTATGTTACTACTAGGCAAAGCAATTAGTACGAGAGATTTTTTTTCAAACATCAGGTGCATCACGTCAATTTATATATATATATATATGTATATATATATATATAGATCGTACATAATAATACGAGATAAGGTTGTACGTACTAAAATTATGGACATAACAAATGCATCCGATAACTAAATTTTTCCTAAGACCAAATACAATACTATGAAAGATATGAAATGAGAAGGATCCTAATCAATCTCATACTTTTGAGTTCGAAGTTCGAATTTGATACACACTCCGAAGCAAGAAAAGTTTTGGTAGATGCATTTAGCTCAATTATCTCCATTTCAAAAAAAAAAATGTATTTCCTCTGTCCCAAAATTATTGTCCAGTTTGAGATTTCACTTTTAGTACAATTTGTATTAGAAATGAAAATCTAAACTGGACAATAATTATAACTGAAAGATTACTATCTTTCTTCAAAAAAAATAGTTATATTCATGGGACGGACATAGTATATATATATATATATATATATATATATATAGATTTGGGTCAATTACGAGCAAAGAGGTAGGAGACTTGTAAGCAATGACGCCATGTGTACAAGTTGGGAAGTTGGATAAGGAAGAGGACAGTTAGAAGGTAGAAGTTAATTAGATGCTTAGAACTCGAGAGAGATGCAATGCAGCCATGCATGTTCTTTTAAGTCAAAATCTACTGTTCAGCCCAAACGATAAAGTAGCTGGAAGTTTTAGTTATGCATTATTATTTTTTTCTTTTTTTAATAAAAATTTAAGGTCAAGTGGCTGAAATGATTGTCAAATTTTTATAAATAAAGTATACAAGCCGTTTCATTCCCTCACAGTCGTCGCATGCACCCAAAAAAAACAAAAAATGAATGAAATTATTTTTTTCGACTCGAAATATTCATTTGGTGTTTGTTATAAGATATTTTTAAAATTTTTTTAGTCTTATTCATAAGGTATTTGATGTCTTTAAAGTTTAAGTTATTGTTTTTTTTACAAATTTAGCCATTCTTTGAATATTTGTACCCCATCCGTCCTGAATATATTGTCTAATTTGGATTTTTATTTTTATTTCAAATTATACTAAAATTGAAATCTCAAACTGGACAATAATTTTAGGACGGAGGGAGGTAATTAATATCAATTAAAACTAACCATTCCTGATCAAGCATAGAAAATAGATTTTAACTATTTTTTAAACAATAACTAATTTAACTAACTGATATTGTTTTTACTGTAATATGGTTTATTCACTGCTTATAAATAAGACCAGAAGGTTTTTTTTTTTTTTCCGTAATTGAATTTTATGCATGAATGAGACAAGGTTAATTTAAAAAGGTGATCATGGCCAAGTTGTTTGGAAAGGCATGACCTCGAAAGAGCAAAATCTTGCTCCCCTAGGGTTGTGTGAGTCTTACAGTATTAAAACTCTGAGTTCTGTTATGCATATGGTAATGGCCTAAAGGGAATCGAGGATGGAAGGAACCGATGGGATAAAAAAAATGGTTAAAATCCATGGAGATAGTTGCATAAACCGCAGTGTATTTGGTGCATTCTTGTGCATCTTTCTATTAGTTGCAGCGATGCAATGGGCTGGATGATTATGGTTTTGAATGCACTATACCACATGGGTATGGGATATTACAGAGACTTGTGGCGGTGCATCATTCTTCTTCCGCTTTTGACTTTAATTTCGTGCAAAGTCTGATCAGTTTCGGAATTCAAGGAACTACTACTGCTTTCCCATTTATTTGTGATATAATATTTGATATGTTATTCCACGATAACGACTAATCTCTTTTATTACGTCATAGATAGTTTGATGAATAACCTAACTGACCAAGAATTTTAAACATGTTTCATACTTGAGGTAAAAAATTTTAGATACTCTTTTATAAATTGGGCTAGTAGCATTTTAGAATGTACAACTATATTAATGTGAGTCCAATCGAGTTTAAAAGCAAACAAAATCATCGTACGTATATTAATGAACAGTTGAAAAGCACAATCGCGATTCAAATGTTACTCTCTTAGTCTTATTTTAACCGTGTTTTAGACTAAATAGATTGAATTATGCAAATACGAAGATGGTTTTTTTTTTTTTTTTTTTAACCACCTTAACGAAGAGCTTTACTCTTAAATTTTCCAGACAACATATTCTTCTTTGGGAAACCAAAAACTAAATTATGAATACAAAAGCTATATAAATTTACTACCATATACTCCCTCCATTTCAAAATGTAGGTCGTTTTAAATTTGGAGAAATATTTCAAAATGTAGGTCGCTTTATGATATCAAGACAAATTATGACTAACTTTCCAACTTTGCCCCTAATAAATAATGATAACCACTTTTCATCTAGTATTGGTTATAATTCCAAAACAATTAATGATGGGTAAAATAGAAATTTAATGCACAAATTAATTATTAAATAATTATCTTCTTAGTTTACATGTAGAGTTTAAAGTGACCTACATTTTGAAATAGAGGGAGTATCACCACTACTAAAATGGTACCATCCAGTGTTACCGACCCTATTCCCCCAAAGAAAAAAAAAGAAAAAGAAAAGGAAAATACACGCCTTAAGTACGCAATTAAATTATTGTATTTTTTTTGTTATTTTAAAATAATAATAAAAAAGATCTTATTTTCCATTTTTAGGTAGTTGGATTAATATTTCTGTCTTTTGCAAGTTCCACATTAGTATTGTTATTCTCCCATTTGTCTTAATTTCAACCTAAGTAGTTACATTTTTTATTCTTGTTGTCCACCTTGTTATTCTCAGTCTCCAGCCTACTCTTGTTCTCTATACTGTACTTCTTTCTTCTATTTTGATTTCCATTAGTAATGGATTGAGAATTTTTATGAATTAGAGCTCTTTTTTAACCAAAATAATAGTAAAAAAACAAAAAAAAACTTAAACCTCTTCAATAATGTTACGTTTTCTTCAAAGTTCAATGAATTGTTTGTTCTTTTTTCCTTTATTTCTGACTTGTATTAAATAAAATTTTGTTTTCCAAGTAGAAAGATATTTATGAGAGAAAGAAAAAGCCCAATTTTATGAGCATACTTAATCTTACGACATAAATTAAGTAAGGTAAATTTGATTAATCACAAAAAAAATTCCATTATAGACCGTCATATTATTTCAAAGGAAACCACAAACCTATATCCTACTATATTAGAAATAAAAATCCCCCTTTCAAACACCTCCTATGATTGCCATGTTACATGAGTAAAGTACTAAATTACCCTTTTGGTCAACCATAACTAAATTACTAAATCCCCCTTTGCACTTTACGTGTCACGTTTTTTTTTAAAAAAAAAAAATTTCTTTATGTTTTATTCAATTAGAGTAGTTTTATTTTCTTAATTATGGAGTCTAAATTGAATTGATCAATTAGGTTTTTGTTACAAAGTGTTAATTTTGTTTTAAGTGTATACCTTTCGGATGAAACTTATTACAAAACTATTAAAAATCTCCAAAACTAAGTATTGATTTGGCACGACCAATGGAGAACATCAATAAATCATCTTACTAATATTTAAACTTATTAGGATACTTTTATATTTGTCTAACATTTACTTCAACACATATATTTGATTAAGTCTATTTATATGTAATAAGTAACACTTATAAAATATTTCTAAAACATATATGGCGAAATACAATTTATTTTTTTGTTAAATACAAATATTTCTATGATCACACTTATAAAATATTTCTAAATCCTTCAAACATTTCTAAAATATATCGCTCCAAATACAATTTTTTTTTTCAAATATAAACATTTCTAAGATCTACAGATAAACTGGGCCAGGGTCGCGCAATGCGCGACCAGACATCACTAGTCTCATCATAAGCGTTTAGCTAGCGATTATAACTGCGATTTTCTTGTTAAAGATAAGTTCGTTATTGATCTTTTAGTTAACTTATATCAGTAGTCATTAGGTACGTAGCCCATTTGGGGAAAGTTCATTGACATTCACCAAATCATTATGGAATGTAAGCATATTTTCTACAAGTCCAATTTGATTCACCTAAACCACGAAAGATGGTTGTACTGGTGCCATTTGAACCAAAGTGAAGAAACTAAAATCAAACCAAATTCCACAACAAATCCTCAAAATCTTACACCATTAATTGGGTATTGCCTAAAACTATATAAACACGAATCATATTGATTGATCAAAACAAGCAACAACATCAAGGTTTTTCTGTATCAACCATATGGGAAGAAGTAGTATACTCTTCATGCGGCAGAAAAGCGAAAGTTCGCGTTTCGGCCGCACCATTGGGTCGCTGGTCTTGTCTGCAAAAGCTATGTTCAGGCCAGTGACTCACTCGAGGAAATGGCGCCGGGGATGGTTGAAAGTGAGAGCTTGCTATGGCTACGATGATTACGATCCCGTGATTCAGCTGAACCCGGAGAGGATTGAAGCACACAGTTTCGGAGATTTTGATCCAAGCACTCGGAGTAGTGAAGGGACGCTCTGGAAAAAGAACATCATAATGGGAGGAAAGTGTCAACTCCCGGATTTCTCCGGTGTCATTATCTATGATACTCAGGGAAATGTCGTCCCTCCGGCAAAAACTCTCCCGGCTCTTACCTGGAAATGATGAACAACGTAGATGGGAAAATCTGATGAGTTGCATAATGAATGGTGTTGAACCTTTGCTCTGTGTTTTTGTAGTAACAACATTCGTTTTTAGTTTCTTGACAATTTTTTTTTCTTTTTTTACATAATGTGGAATTCATAACATATTTCAATGAAATGGCAATCGTATCAAGAAACTCATAGCCCGCTTTCTATATCCAATCATACGGTATTGATTCATTCGTTGTCAATGTGACTGACGATAACTAAATATATAGCGATGATAACAAAGTGACAAGAGTTGAGCAAAACTAAAGAAATGAGATATTACAGGATATATATAATATTAAATGTTGTCACATATCAACACAGATTCACACTTTGACTTATCTATGGCCCCTGAATCCGGCAACATTCAGTTTTGTTGCTGATCTTGATGCAGTCAAGCTCGGGGTCGTCGATTGTTTCTCTCCAGCAACCTGCGCTTTGCTTTTGATCTGCTTCAGATGGCTTTGCGGAAACTCTAGTTGTCAGCATTACAGTTTTCTTGGTGAGATTTGTTCTGGATGTCCTTTTTTTTCACGGAATTGGAGGAACGTACCTACTCCCAGATTTCGCCGGTGGTTTTACCTGTGACGCAGAAAGGAAACATTGTCTAAAAACTAGTCGTGCTCTTACGTACAAATAAAGAACAACAAAATGAAACAATGGTTGTGAATCTTGCTTTGTTTTCTAAGTAATAACATATTCTCCATATGATCCAACTGCATGACATATTCAATGTCAAATTATGCATGTTAGATCTTTTCAGAGCATTTTTAGCTAAGAATAACGATGCCCATACATACAAATTCACCACCACTTTCGATAATCATTGATGTGATGTTATATAATTGATTATGTAACAAAAAAAAAGTGTCATGAAGTAAGCAGAACTAAGAAATGAGAGAACACAAGGTCATTCTAAGATATAAACTGAGATTCACACTACCTTAATTAGTCAAAGAACTGCGGCCCCTAAATCCGACAACATTTAGTTTTGTAGCTGATCTTGATACAGCCGAGCCCTGGGTCTTCGACTGTTTCTTGGCAGCAACCTTTACACGTGGCTTCGCTTTTGTGCTGCTTGTTGTTGATGGCTTCTTAGAAACTTTAGAAACCACCTTTACAGTTCTCTTGGTGGGATTTGTCCGGGATGTCCTTTTCGTGGAATTAGGCTTGCTAACATCACTGGATGATTTCGCTGATGTTGTCTTAGAGTTGCTCTTAAGTTTTGAAACCTTGAACAGCTTTACTGCCTTTCCCTTCTGCTCAGCAATGTTTGCTCTGGCCTTATCCCTTTTTACACTATCTACAGAGAGAGACTCTAAGCTCTCATTTTTCATAATGGCCTCTTCAATGCGACTAGCCAAAAGTTGGTCTTTTTTGGCGACCAAACTCGTTACCTTCCCTGTACAATGATAATCACATATTAATTTAACAATCAGAAAAAACAAAAGTAGAGATCTACAGACTTATGTATAAGAGACATACATCTGCAATGTTTCAACCATCAAGAAGCCACATAAAAAAAGCTTAATCAATCAAGAAAGTCACTTCAGCAAGGAGTAGTTTCAACATAAATAGCCATGATTGTTCTTTTTCTGATCAGCTATACGTTTTGCCACAGACCTACTATATTCTACTATAATATCAATATACCATCACATCATATGAGATGGTTAACCATTTTTGCCAAAGATTGGCTCTTCCAGTCTTACTTTCCATTGCTTCCTAACTATGTGATAATCATAGATTAACTGTCCCACAACTTTGCTTCAATAAGTAAATATACCCAAAAAATAGTAATCAGAAACTCAATCATTAAAAACCAGAGATATGTATCAATTATGACTACCTCACTTGTCACAGCAGTTACCAAGATTTTGTATAAAATATCAAGTTAGTTGGTTATGCCAAGATACAAATACATGAAATTGAGTAATATATACAGTTTGCACAATTCATTTTCAACTTTTTACAAAGCAATGCATGTACCTTTTGCACCCATACGAGCAGTTCTTCCAGTGCGATGGAGGTAGTCAATCTGCATTTCAAAAGAACCGGTGACCAAACTTCAAAGTACGGAAAAAAAAAAAAAAGTTAATCAAAGACAAAAAGACAGTATGCTCTCTAACTAGCCTTCAGGGAAACTTCTTACTGATGACAAGGGAAAATCAAACATGACAACATGATCCACATCCAGGTCAAGCCCCCTAGCTGCCAAATCAGTGCAAACCAATGTAGGACAATCTCCATCTTCACTCTTAAACTTCTCCAGGTTCTCAACCCTAGTGTTAGAAGAAATACCAGTGAACATGGGAAAAAATAGATCCATCAAACATTATGAAAACTTGCTAAAATGCAGTATAATAAGACCAACTTGAAATAGAAATACTGAACACGATTTTAGATTCAAGGTCAAATATCTCAATTTAGTGTAACCAGTAAATTCAACATTTGCTCAAGAATTTCTTTGATGATTAGTTACAGTTAGAATCTGAATTATGCACGCAAAAGAAATCCAAGGCATGCACATCAAGCAGAGCTAAATATGTGCTTAGGCCTTTACTGAAAGAGGAAGCTCACCACATTCATCAAGGGTTTTCAAAAATAGCCAACAGCAAGAAGAATTACTAAGCCTTTATTTTACTATACTAATGATATTACAACCTACTGATGAAAATGGTTCAAATAATCACAACAGAAGCCATGATTCCCTGCAATAATCCGCTGGAGAATAGGAGTTCACAGATACTTTTATAGTGTTTCCAGCTGGAGAATAGAAAGAATTCACAGACAAGGAACTTTCTGTCTCACCTTTGCTCAGCGGGAACCTCTCCATGGTAATTCACAGTAGAGATTTGGTTGTCATTTAGAAAATAATCCACAGCACGACTAGAGTTCAAAGTGTTGCAGAATACCATGACTCTGTTTCCCTTAGCTAAACTTGGCTCTAGTACCTGTAATTCAAACGACGGCATTAGACCAAAGAGGATCTCAGCAGTATAATACAGTTTCACGGAAGCATTCAGTATCTTTTAAACGAAGACTGCAAAATCCTCCCTAGAGTCTGTTGAAAAGTCATGAAAAGTAACATTATGCATCGTCGTGACTCAAATTAATATGACAGCATATTACAAATCAGAGTGATAGTAACAATTCCTATTCCAAGATCATAGATCAAGAAGTGTAAAACTTCTCGTTCGAAATAATGAAGGCATAAAGGTCTTGTGCATTGTATCTTAAATGTTGTTCACATTAAAGAGAGCAGCTGAAACTGCCAGACTAAAAACCTTCCACCAGTTATTAGGCAGCAAGAAGTTGCATAATGGGATGAAAAGAAGGGAGCCAAAAAGTGGATTTGACCCCATCTCAAAGAGCAATGACATGAACACCAGAAAAGAAGAGTTAACAAATGTTAACAAGTTTCTAAAGAGAGGAGATTAAACATTTAAGCTAATGAATTCATATCTACCAATATAACCCCGACTAACAAAGGTACAAAGGCAAGAGTATTCTCAGCATCATCCCCAATATCTATGGCAGGAGATAGAGTTAAAGTGAGGTTAGGTATGTAAGCCATAACTAACTGGAAGAGTAACTTTTACTGAAGAAGAAGATGAGCAGGAGTCTTAAGTGAAGATTAGGAGTTCTGTGAAATGTCGTACAGATAAAATGCAGAATATCATACAACACATTCTGAGATGATGGGTAACATATGAAGAGTATCCATAAAATATCTTCAAATTTGCTCGTAAGGATAATCGAGAAAAGAACATCAAAAATTTATATTTACAGTAGTGGATTTTTTTTAAGTCAGTAGTCTCTGCACCTGCTTTATTCAGGCATAAACTCTACTTCCCACAGATTACTGCAGTCCGATTTCAAGAATGAACACCAAACATGTCTAAGACAACAATCCTTGAAAGCACCATCGATGTTATATCTCTGTCCTTAAAAACTTCTATAAGCAAAAAAATATATGATAACTTGGCAAGAGAAAAATTTGTTTGCCCATGAATTCTCACACAACAAGAGTGTTTTCCTTCGGGACCAAACACACCCTACTTACAAATTAGGAAATTTTTAATTTCCTTTTTCCTGGGGAAAAAAATGTTGACAGTCCAAATAAAGTCTGCGGGCCAGTAAATGATTTCTTCTGCAGGCTTTTGTCATGCTCAGTAACCTCATCTCTTTATATTTTTCACTAATGATGCAGTTAATCTTGCAAACTCATATTACAAAGAGTAAATAATACCACAACCTGACATTTATTCATTTCAATTTTACCCCAAGACATGAGCTGTCTTTAAAATTACTAAAACAAGAATTGGTGACACACGATCCAAACCGTGGAACCCACTACAATAATGCTAAATTATTGGCCTTTTCCCCACTAGGTGGGGTCGGCATGATTAAGATTCAAGACTAATTATTTTTCCTTTTCTGCTTGGTGTTTGTTTCCTCCAATCATCACAAGAATAGCATTTCCTCAACTAAATTCAGGGTCATGTTTCTATGTTGTCCATTTTAATACTTGCTATACACTTATGTGCAGTAGTAGCTCCAACTACGTTGATACAATATAAAAGTAAACTGGGTACTACAAAAAAACACTGATGGACTCATAACAGTATAATGTAACCATCTTGCCATGCCTATTTCTAGTTTCCTTACTATTATTCTTTAGATGCCAAGCAGCAAAAGGTTAACCACAGCCATTACTTTACTGTCTTCTTGTTTTTAATGATACGTTCTCCTTCGGTTCGATTAAAAAGGACAGCCAAGTGCATAGAGGCTCCCACATGTGCACACATGCTAGAATCTAGATTTGATTATGGTCTGAATGCCTGTTCAAACTTTGTGACCATACTTGCAAAAGCTTACCTGAAGCAATACCTCCAGCTTGTTTTCTGAACCTGCTAGTTTGATGAAGTCATGCCGAGCAGTAGCAATCTTCTTATGTAGTGTTGAAGTACGAAGGTGTACAATGCCTTGAAATTCCTCATCGACTAATTTTTGCACCGCCTACAGAATGGTGCCAGTATTATTACCAAAGAAACAATGGAAGAAGAAAATTACTGCTAAAACAATAAAATAAAATGCGAATGGTTAGCTTAGAAAAGTTGTCATCAAGTCCCAATTTAACCCAAAAGAACAGTGACGTATAGCCACAACTAGTTTTAGCATTTCCACATAGCAAAACGTTCTCTTTCTGAACCTATATTGCTTATAACAAATCAGGTATACACACCTTTGTCATTGTTGCAGAAACCAGAACAGTTTGAAATGGTTCCCCATCTGGTTTAGCTGCACGGTTCCTGAGCGGACCAAGAAACTTGCGAATATCAGGGCCAAAGCCACGATCAAACATGGTATCTGCTTCATCCAACACCTAGAAGAGGATAGCTTGTCAACAAATACAATGCCAAGGTAGAATTTTTCTAGCATTATCAAAAGACAAAGACATATATTAAATAAAATAAAAAAGCATAAAGAAAAATTACCAAGTATCTGATGTCACCATAAACCATGTTTCCATCCTCAATATGTTGTAGAACCCTACCAGGAGTTCCTACCACCAAGTCAATTGGGGAGTTCAAACAATCTTCCTGTGGTCTTAAACGCCCACCACCACTTATCATGGTAGATCTGAACCGTGCATGGTGACTAATGGACTTTGCCACCCGAAACACCTGCATCACACATCTAGCCTTAGCTACTGGAAAGAAACCCTCCCTACATGGTTAAACCACATGATATCATCACAACCTATTCAAACCTGCTCACAGAGTTCCCTCGTAGGGCAAAGTACAACAGCTCGGGGACGCCTTGGCTTCATAAGAATTCCATTCAATGCCTCGTCTTGTCTCAACAACTGTGGGGGGAAAGTAAAAAGAAGAATATGAACCTCATGAGTTTCGGATCCTTGGTCTGAGTAAAACCATTGCATTACCCAAGGAAGCAAAGGACAATCCTATAAGTATGAAACTTGATCCTTAAAATTCAGCACAAGCATTTAGAGGAGTCAAACCATTTTTTAAAATACAAGTACATGACCAGCATTACATAAATTTGGATTTACAAATACTATAATTGGAGCAATAGTTTCTCATGAGGCCATTTTCTGGCATAAAAATGATCAGTAACATGAGAATTTGTTACTAAACCTAAACTCAAAATGGAAGATTCAGGGGTTCAGAGTGAACGAGACAACCATCTACTTCTTTTCACACTTTGTCCATTGAGTTCTTGGTCCACATCTATGCTCATAAGTTTCACTACAAACATATCCACAAAATAACCACGCTTTGACAAATTGTCCAAAAAATTTTGCAAGGAAATGCTAATTCTCACAAATATACAACAAAACCATAAAGAATAGTTCGGGTTGAGAAACATGGAAGACTATTAAACTTCCTCGGAAGTCCAGAGTCAAAGCAAGAAACGAAATCACACCAATTTTTACTGTTTTTAAGTCAGCAACATGGCAAATTATAGACTCGTGTAGCTAGAAATGAAGATCAACCTAATTCCCAAAATATGATTAACTTGAGGCATAAATATATATATATATATATATAAAAAAAAATTGAAACCTGAACAAGAGGCAACATATAAGCAAGAGTCTTGCCAGACCCAGTGTGAGAACCCAACACCACACTTTGCCCTTCAAGCACAGCAGGAATCCCAATGCACTGAATCTCAGTTGGCACAGAAATATTCATCTCCTTCAGCGCCCCAATAACCTCTTCAGTCACTCCCAACTCCTCAAAACTAGACGCCATTGCCTCACTCTTCCTCTTACCTTTCCTCGACCCTTCATCATTTTCACTCTTAACCCCCAAAGACTGAGCTTTTCCTTTCCTGGATTGTACTAATGGGGCGGGTGGTTTTTTGGCAGAATCCTTAAGGTGTCTGACTCGAAGCCTTTCTAATAAGACCGAATGCTTAATGGGTTCAAGAGATTCTTCTGATTTAGTTGGTGAAATCGTTGTGATTGAACAAAGGGGCCTAAACCCAACTAAAACCCTGCTGGCCGGTGGTTTTAGGAATGGAAAGATGGGTTTGTGAATGGATAAGCTTTTCTTCGAACATAGAAGAGACAAAGAGAATCGGGTTGTTGAAGGTGAAGCCAGAGAGAGGCTTAACAGTACTTTTCCGGTTCCACCCATTTGTTGTTGGAGTCCTTTTTTGCTGCCGGATTCCACCGCAGCCTTTTCTATACGGAGGTGTTTCTTTCTTTCTTGATGATGAACAAAAGAGTTTTGTTATCCGTTTTCTAAAATTATTTTTCCTTTTCGCTTTCGAAGGAAAAATAAAAATGTTTACCAAAAAAAAATAAATAAATAAGAGAATTAACATTTTGACTAAATTCCCAATTTGGTTCGTGTAAGACAAAAGGTAAAATTATGTCCTCTGTATACAAAAGAATGATGTTTTTCATCAGTAATCTCAATGTAATAAGTTTGTAATCCAATAATATTTTGATATTGTTAATCACATTATAAGTAGCCAATCAAAACAATTATTAGCATACAATGGGCAAGTTCAGACACTTTGCTTCTATGACAAAGTATGTAACGCCTTTAGATTTTGGACTGAATGAAACAACCTTAAATCCTTTAGTTAGCTCTCCCACTCATCGAGATGCCTACTATGAGTGAGGGGGATTAGTCACTGTTGTCAACGGTAGACACCATGCAATATGTAAAAAAAAAGTCATTATATAATAAATATGAAATCTAGTGTTAGATATGAAGTGTAGGTTAGATTTCGAGTTCGAATTTTTTTGTAATAAGTTCTAGCTACTTGTGTTTTTTATTAGGGTAGTCTTTCTAGTTTAACCTAAATATGATCATAATATTATATTTATATTGACCTCCCGGTATGCTATGATTAGGCTATCTCATATGGTTAATTGTAATATTTTAATAACAGATTATTATAATTCGATCCTTTGTTATTTATTTTATATTTTTTAATATGTTATTATTGCGTGTGAGTTGTGACAAAAAGAAAAAAGTAAAGAGAGAATCCTACTTAATACATTTGGGAGTGGATTTTTTTTTTTTTTTACGTATAAGCAATCGCAATTTTTTTGGAGCTAAAATTAGCAATTATGATCACAAAGTAGATAAAAATATCATTTTCTCGTGTGACTAACTAAATTCAATGTAATGGACCATTTTAACGACTTGAATCCATCATTCAAAAGTACTTTCAGACTTTCAGTGTCAACAATGAAATTTCGAAAAGATTAGGGGGCTATTGTCTATTTAACCATAACCTAGGACATCCGGACAAAAGTCAAAACGAATTGTCAACCTTCAAAGGCAATTTGAACAGTAGACGGCGCACTACTATTTATCAGTTGAGTCTTGAGAGCGAGAAGACCCCATTAGCCATGGACTTCAATGCCCACATCGAAAGAATCTTATGGACTGAGGAACAAATTTCAGCTAGAGTTTCCGAACTTGGTTCTCAAATAACTCAGGATTTTTCCAATTCCGGTAGTTCTTCTTCTTCTTCTTCTGCTGCTCCGATGGTTGTTGGAGTTGCCACGGGGGCCTTTCTGTTCTTAGCCGACCTGGTCCGCAAAATCCGATTGCCGGTTTCTGTTGATTTTGTTCGGATTGAGTCCTATGGTTCTGGGACCGTTTCAAGTGGGAAACCCAAAATCACGTGCGATTTGAAGATTGATGTTCGAGATAGAAACGTCATTGTGGTTAGTTGGATTGTCCAAAGACTTTATTTTTATCAATCAGTTTTTGGTGTATGTTTTTTTAAATGGATATTTCGTTGTTGATTTTCGCCTTTTGGAGTTTGAATACTTGCTTTGTTTGTATTTCTATGCAAATTGACTTGTTTATGCTCACTATTCTGTTAGTTCGAATCCAGACGATTTAAGATTAGCCTTTGTTTTCTATTCTTGGTGAAAAATTGATTATTGACTTTCTGGGATGTTCACCATTTGATTTTAGCTTGTTGTCGCTGGTTGTTTTCCAAGACTACATGTTTCAACGAATTTGGTACGGTAGTTATAGATAGTTCTTCTGCATTAAGTTTTCTTCCATTGTTAAGGTACTACATGGATTTTCTGGGAAGTCTTGGGATATTCAGGAACATTGCTTTGTGATTGAGTAGAAAGATTAACTGGATTTGATCTCATTTCAATCACTATTCTTAGAATTTTGTTGCAGTTCTTATTGGAGAACTTGGTTAAATACTCTGCAAATGTAGATGTTTCAGAGATGAGATATGTTGTCAGTGTGAATTGTTCCTTTATGCAAGTCCCCACATTGTATTGATTATGTTTATAAATTGGCTCTGATTATGAACACCCCTGATGGAAATAAAAATCTTAAATTAGGGATATAAGGATATAAGCTTCAGATTGTATTCGTAATTGAAAAGTAGAAATGAAAGGCGTCAAACATTATGTCCACTTATACTGTTTTTTCTGAACCTTTGTATGTTACCCTATGTAAGCTTATACTAAGCTCATCTTTCCTAATGATTATTTACAACTTATTTGGATTTTTTTCACTTTAATTAAGGTAGAGGACATAGTAGATACTGGAAACACCTTATTGTTTCTCATGGATTACTTGAAGTCAAAAGGAGCATCCTCAATGTCTGTTTGTACCCTTCTTAATAAATCGGCAAAACGTAAGGTGAATGTGGAGGTATTTGGCGGCGGCAAGTTCTACTGTGGCTTTGAGGTAATTTCTCTCTCCTGGACTGCATTTTTTGTATTTTTCTGAGGTGGGATGTTGTGCATTTGAAGCATCTTGCTTTTATACTTTTAGCCCTTTAACATTCTCTCTAATCCATGTTAAGAATGAACAATATCATAAGCCCTAAGCTTCATGTCCTGTTATACATGTCAGCACTGTCAAGTCTTGGTAAGGCCAATCTCAGATATCTGAGGATTTCAATTGTAGATGTTGCATTGTAATTGAATTCATAATTCTGTCATGGCAGTGCCCGGATAATTTTGTCGTCGGTTATGGACTGGACTTTGCCGAGCAGTACAGGAACTTGCCTTATGTTGGAGTCCTGAAGCCTGAATTATACCAGTAGGAACTATTGGATGCTGGTCTGATTTTCTAGGGTAGCAGAAATGATCTTCGTCTACACCATTGTTGGCACTGGATTGCAGTTATTTGAATTCGTCCACGTAATGATATAAGTGGATTCCACAATAGCATTCAGCTCCCAGGATAGAGTGATATATATCTTCTACAAAAGCTGCAACTTTGTGGCTTTAGCCTTTTAAGTGATGTAATATATGAAACCCATTTCCAAGTTCTAGATGAACTTTTTACAGTCAGGATAATGATTCACATTTTTGTCTTCAATTTGGAACAAGTTCACAGAAATTCTGGAGAGTATGTCTTTTTCTACCTTTTGCTCCACATATTCAGTAGAACCACACATCTATGTACTACTTCTCGTATATCAGAATCCAATGCTATTGTACTTTTCTCATTTTAGCAAAACAGCTACCTGCACCAGAATTAGCTAAAAATATGCAATTTTTTGTTATTTTGATATGTCATAACGTCATAATCCACTGAGTTGCGTGCCATGAATCTCTTAAGTTGCTAAATGTTGCCTTTCTTTTTTCGGGTTCTTATATATTTGGCCAAAGCAGACATTTTTACTTGCAACTTATTAAAATCACAGGGACAGATTACCAAAGAAAAATTTAGGATGCATGGATTAAATTTGATCATGTTACGTCCCGCCAATTGTGATTCCTTTCCTCTTTGGTGGCTAAGAACAAATAGGTAAACTGAAAGTCAAAAACCAGTTCTTTCAGGTTTCAGCACATCTTTTACACATGGTTGGTTAATTATGCAATGGTGGTTAAGGAGTTTCCTGGACGTGACAAACTCTTTTGTCGTCCACTTCTTTTTTTCTGTTTCGATGCAATTCATGTATGATATTAGAAACTGGTTAAATTGAGTTAGTGATGGGGACAAGATCAGCAGGCTTTTATTTTCTTTCAATTGGCCGGCTTGCCGTCCTTCACCGTTCAAAGGAGTATGCTATTCTTCATCCCTTTCCTCTTTGTCCTTACTTGATCAAGATTAAAAATTCTTCTAGTTTTTGTCGTGTGAGTGTTTTCTAGCTACTACCATCACTAGCAGATCCTTATATACCCTTTTGGGAGATGGAAAGGATGCTGAATCCATCACTGATATTATTCCTCAGTTCTAAGTTGTTTTATGATGATGGTGGTGAAGTCTTTGCCTCATGAAACAACAACATTCAAAATATGGTTCATTCATACCGTCTTTTTGGTGGCCATCATCCCTGCATTTTGTAGTAGTATGAATACAGATACTATTGCTACTTGCTTGGCCAACAAGGGTGTCAAGAACTTCACACTTTTCCCAAATAACCATGATGAAGAAGACACCAGCTGGAGGGCTTACTACAGCTTTCTCAATTTCTCCATTCAGAACCTTAGGTTTGCTGAATCCTCTGTTCCTAAACCTATAGCCATCGTGATGCCAGAGACAAAAGAGGAGCTGGTGAACTCTGTCATTTGCTGTAGGAAGGGATCATGGGAGATTAGAGTCAGGTGTGGGGGTCACAGCTATGAAGGTACTTCCTCAGTCGCCACAGACGGCATTCCCTTCGTCATCATTGACCTGATGAACCTGGATAGAGTTTCCATTGATTTGGAATCGGGCGTGGCCTGGGTGGAAGGCGGGGCGATTCTAGGTAAAACTTACTATGCTATCTCAGAGGCTAGCAAAGTCCACGGATTCTCAGCTGGTTCATGCCCGACTGTTGGGATTGGTGGCCACATTTCAGGAGGTGGGTTCGGTTTGCTATCACGAAAATATGGGCTGGCAGCTGATAACGTGGTGGATGCTGTCCTGATAGATGCAGATGGAAGGGTGTTGAACAGGGAATCAATGGGAGAGGAAGTGTTCTGGGCTATTCGTGGAGGAGGTGGTGGAGTTTGGGGCATTGTTTACGCCTGGAAGATACGATTACTTGATGTTCCAAAAATCGTGACGGGCTGTGTAATTTCCAGGCCTGGATCGAAAGGACACGTAGCCAGGCTGGTTGAGAAGTGGCAACATGTTTCACCTAACCTGGGTGACGACTTCTACTTATCAGTTTTTGTTGGTGCTGGATTACCCGAAAGAGCACCGGCTATAGGAATCTCGGCTACATTCAAAGGTTTTTACTTGGGACCAAAGGCAGAATTCATTTCTGAAGTTAACAGGGTGTTTCCTGAACTGAGCATTGCCCCTGGAGACTGTAAGGAAATGAGTTGGATCGAATCCGTGGTTTATTTCTCTGGCCTGAATGTTTCCAATGCTGCCAAGTTAACAGATCGTTATCTGGCAGACAAATTGTATTTCAAGGCAAAATCTGACTACGTGAAGTCCCCAATTTCAAGGGCCGGAATCAGACTTGCCTTGGATGTATTGGAGGAAGAGCCAAAAGGGTATGTGATATTGGATCCTTACGGAGGATTCATGGACAGAATTGACTATGAATCCATCCCCTTCCCTCACAGGAAGGGAAACCTTTTCTCCATTCAGTATATGGTAGAATGGAAAAAAAAGGATCTGGAGAACCTCAAAATGATGAGAAGGAGCAATAGCAACAGCAATGGGTACGTTGATTGGATTCGGAAATTCTATGACGCCATGGCGCCATATGTTTCATCGGCACCCAGGGCCGCATACATTAATTACATGGATCTTGATCTTGGGGTGATGACGATGTTGGAAGAGGGAATCGACGAACAAGCTGATGGTGTTGCAAAAGCTAGATTATGGGGTGAGAAGTATTTCTTGAAAAACTACGACAGATTAGTGAGAGCTAAAACGATTGTGGATCCACTAAACGTGTTTAGAAATCAACAGGGCATTCCTCCTCTCTCCCTAGTTACTGCTTCATCATCTTCATCCTATTCCTCCTCATCCAGACAACAGTCGTTTTAGATAACAATCACGTGTTTATCATTTGGTGAATGCATTAAGGATATGTTAGTGTGTCGATTACATCAGGGTAGAATATCTTCTCCCAACAGCCATATAACCAAATTATATGGGAGTCTGGATTTTCCACTTGTTTGTTGCAGAAGGGAGAAAAAATTGTACTAATTGTTATTGAATTCGAAAGCTCCTGTCATAGCAGTGGTCTAGACTTCGCAGAGCAGTATAGGAACTTGGCTCATGTCGACATCCTAAAGCCTGAATTGTATCTGTGATCACGGTTTGCTGATAGGGAATTGGTACCTGAGATGATGCGTTCTTCATGGATAGCATAGACAACAAAACCTCAAGTGGAAAATCAGTTCTGACATTTCATTCTACTAATTCCAGTTCATCCAGAAAAAAAAGATACAGACTAACATATGGCCATAAGCACTGATGTGCTACACATATACATTTTTCTATTACAGGAAACATTAGACGACTACTAATTTTTCTTGAGCAATAGCAACGAATTACCTCTTGTTGCAATCGGCACATTTAAGTTCTAACTAGCCAAGAGATCCAGTACAGAAAATTTCAGGCTCAACAAAACATTACACCTTTGCAATTAAACTTTAGTTGTTCAACAGTTCACTTGCAAAGTCCTAGCACCAACGTTGTGATTCATCCTGCCTCTAACTTGATAACAAGCTCAAAGAAAATCAGGATGTATGTCTTCCTCCACCATCTGATCCATCGATTCAGTATCATATACATGTCGGTTATTCATATAGTCTGCTTCAGTTCTTAAACCTTTCTTCCTTCCAAGCACAAAACTACAGCCTCCTTCTTCTTCTTCTTCTTCAGTCATATAGCAACTCCATTTTGAGGCAGTCTGTGACTTAGCTGTTGATAAGTGAGTTCTCCTCGGCAACTCATTAGCAAACTTTTTATCTTCACCGCGAATTAAGCATCCACTCCATTCAGAGATCTGGTGTGCTGGCTGTTCATTTCTCATCCCTTCTAGTATATCAGCACACTTTCTTTTTGCTCCACGCTCAAGCCAGCCTTCTTGCGTGCCTCTAACCGTGGTGGCATTCCCATATCTACTCGATCCAATAGCTGCCACAACAAATCCAAAACAGAGTTGTGGACTATAAGCCTCTCATTTTGCATCAATGATAAAGTTTTCTAGCCATTACACTAGAGCTAAAATTACCATTTAGTAATCTATATATCCACAGTAAGATATTCAATAACTGCAGTCTGATGATGACATTCAACAAACACAACCACTGACAATCTGCAAATGGAATTCAATTTACCATGAGAAGGGATATTAGCTCTGGTATGCCTCCCACCGAACTTCCTCAGAGAAGTTTCTTCTTCTTCATCATCTGCAGAATCTTTTGCAATGTGATGGTGGCTTTTCAATTTGGGCTTTTTAAAAACTGGTTTTGGCAATTCAGTGATTATTTTTGGCTCGAATTCATCCCCTGCTGCATAACCAAATTACCCAATAATAATCACGGTAAATTAAAAATTCTTAAATCTTTACGAATTTCACAAACAACTTCAAACTAGATAATCATCTATTGACTATTATATTATGAATGAAAGTGAGCATTGAACAAATTAAAAAAAATAAAAAATAACCATTATTTTCACCCGGTGAGTATGGAGCATATGAGGAGTCATCCTCCGGATCAACGTACTCAGTCCAATCAGTTCTCTTCGGCTTGCCGTTGACGGAAATCTGATCCCCAATTCCTAGGGCTTCATCTTGCCCATCAACATTGAGAAGATTTTGTTCAGCTAATTGCCGAGACATGTTGAAATTCTGGACAAATTTGCGCACATCCTTAGCCATAAACCCCTGGGCATAGACTTTCCGAACCGATTGTTTCTGGTTGCAGACCACACAGTTCCATTTGTTACTGCTCTTCTTCTGCTGCTTCACCTGCGAAAATACGGTTTCAATCGATTCAAATTACACACAGCCACACGCTGCGTATAAAAACAATCAGGCGAAATCCGAAATCGAGGAGCTTACTTACCTGCATAGTGGAGCATTGGAAACACTGTAGCGCCTGAAAAATCGTCGGCGGCATGGCTGAATGAGTCGCTCGCCGGCGTTCGACAATGGAAGAAATGAACGAAGAAGCTTTGGCGGCAAAATATTTTGATTATTGAATTTGTGGCCAGAGATAAATGAAAGCCCTCCAATGTCCAATCGACGCTGAAGATAAAATTATACATTTAGTCCACATCTTTTGTTCGGTGTACATTAGTAGTCCTTATTAATTTTACTCTGGCAGTCTCGTACTATTCTTGAATTGCCAGTTTGCCACAAATGAAAGAGCTTTGAGAAGCGTAGGTTTCTGGTGTTGCATTATATATCTATCTATCTATCTATTCTATACACTCCATTATACCAAAAATCAGTTTTTATCGAAAATTCTAATCGTCAACCTATCCTTAAAAGTCTCCACATCTAACCCAAAATCAAAGAAGACTTTCAATTGAAAACAAAAAAGAAAAACTTCCGGTGACACATTCACAAGTTTGAGTTTTAAACCAATACAAATACAAATACTGATTTTTGTGAAATTCTCTTCAGTGATTTAAACCCAATAGAAAATCTGCTTTCACATCTCAATCTCAATAATTTCGTAAATCTTCATCCTTTTTTCCCAATTATATAAACAATTTTGGTAGTGAAAATGAAGAAACATGGCAATGATTGTTAAACATCGAGAAGCCTTTTTCTTCATGGGAGAAACTACTTGGACAGAAGCCAGGAACTAAGTTTGCGGGATATGGAGAAAATTTTCTTCACAGGATAATAACGCCTGCTTGCATCAAAGATACCATTTTTGAACTTCATCCGTTTCAGGTTTATTCTTCATTTTAAGCAAACATGGATTCTAAAACTGTGAATCTTTTGATAGTATCCTTGATTGGTATCGGAAACTTTTGATAGCTTGATTTGTATAGCATATAATATCTGATTGCATATAAAAAAAATCTCGCAATCAGGTTTCTGAATCAGGTCATATTCCTTCTTCTTTTTTTTCATCTACGTTATAGCCCTTTAATCTTTGTATTGTGGTTTTTAAAAAAATTAAGTTGATTTTTATAATTGGTATGAAAATTATAGTTTACAGATATGATGATGTAATTGATTATAGTTCCCCTTATTTGAAATGTTTGAAAAAAAAAAAAGGAAAAAGAAATATAAACCAATTTTATACCCGTATTTGTACGGGTTCAAAACCTAGTATAATTATTATGCCAGAAAGAAACATGAATAAATGACGATTTCTCGTGCATGATGTTTTTCTTGATGATTAAGCTGTTCGTTGAGAGAACGGGATAGACTTTTTGAAATATTTATAGATAAAACTAGCATTTTACTCCCAAGTTATGATTTTAGTGATCAATTAATTTTCAAATTAATGTAAACTAATTAAATTTCTTAAATTTTTTTTAATTGTTTCGTCGGTTTTGACTTTAGACCTTAGGCGAAAAAATCTTTAAAAGTAGCCCAACCAATTTAGAAATTTTAAAAATACCCTTTATAAGGAATAAAAGTTTATAAAAGATTTTTTTTTTTTGGCCCTTCTTTTCCTTTCTTTTTTCCTTTTTTATTTGTATGCACCAAAGCAATGTTTCTCAAAATATTTCCTTATTAAATCCCCTTTTTTTTTTGCTATGTATATAGTTTGGAACAAGCTCTTTTTTTCTTTTTTTGAATTTATCCTTTCTCTATTTTGCTTCTATTTCTGAAACATTTATATATTTTCAAACATTTTAAGACAAATGCTGTTTTAATTTTTTCATTGTTCTATATATTATATATATAAAAACTATATTTGTTTTTTCTAATACCTATCAAATCTCCCAACAAACTATTTAGAGTATCTTTTCAAAATAACACATTAACAAATGTTGTGTGTGTGGCGAACCGTGAACATGTTTATTTGAAGGACTTGCAAAATAAGTGACAACAGTCGGATTTGGATGAAAAAAAGTTTAAATTTGGAGTTTGAAGTAGGAGCTAAAACTTTCATGCAGATAGATTATCCCAATTTAATAGTTTTGTTACAAAAATACAGCTAATGTTAACTAATTTAAAAATTAAATAATGTAAATTTAGAGTTTGCGAATCAAACATCTTATGGAGCCTATAACTCTATATCCAAAACCTTGATTTAAGTATTTATATATCGATTTGAAAGTTGATAAAAGTACCCAATCTTGGATTCAGATTGCAACACCACATTTAGATCACAAAGGACGCAAATTAGATACAAGAGTTATCGTGTTGGAACTGGTTGGACTATTTTTATTGAGATTTTAAATATGAAAACTAAAATAAATATAAGTCTTAAATATATAACTTTCAAAGTGGTTGTGAATGGTGTAAATATTAATGCAAGCGACAAAATTTACACTCTCTTTGTCTTCGAAAAATAGTTCACATTGAGTTTTGAAATTTATACTTGTTTTAGTACAAATAAGAACTCAATTTTTACAATTTTTTAATGAAACATAAAACAGGTCATTGAGCTATTGGATAATTTCATCACCGGTCATCAATCAAATTTATTTATAAAATATGACATTTTACTAAGCCAAAAATCTATCCGAAGTCATTCTGTTACTTTTGGGCGTTAAATTGTGACGGAAAACTATTTTTCCCATTGAAAACATGTGACATGGGTCCCGGGTAATTTCACAATTTTATATTTTTAAAAAATTATTTTTTAAATTTTGTTTTATAATTCTCCTTATACTACCTAATTTGTATTTTTCTAATACTAATATAATTATTAAATTTTAAGATTTTATTTCCCATTTGTATTTTAAATTTCAAATTAATAAAAGTTTTTAAAAAAATAAAAAAAATGAAGAAGAAAATTTCAAGCTGAAGCAAACATGAAAATATAGTTTATCTTTTATTTCTTTTACAAAAGGAAAAAGAATCATTTAAGACAAGTCGTTTCTCCTTAACTCACTGTAATATATATGTTACTTACGGAATATATTTTTTACTCATTCTATCTTAAAATGATTAGAATTTTTTATAATTATTATTGTTAATAATTTTCCTATAGCTAACCAATATAAGCAATCATTAAAAATTTCATGACAAAGATAAATGTTTACACTCTTTAATAGTGTAATTTTTTATATATATTTTTTATAATATAAAGGTGAAATACAAAAGGTAAATCATTTCTTAAAATTTAGTAATTATAATAGTACCAACACATACAGGTTAATAAGTATAAAAATAATAATTATAACCCAAAAAAATAAAAAAAAAATAAAAAATTAGTAAAAAAATTTATATGATGAAATTGCTGCTAGATGAACTAAAAAACATGTGAAAAATATATTTCCATCATCATTTGATGTCCTAAATTAACAAAATGACCTTAGATGGATTTTTGACTAAGTATATGGTCTTCTTTAATAAATAAATTTGATTGATAACCTGTAATTCTATTATCTAATAGTTCGATGATATGTTTTGTGGTTCACTTCCTTCTTTCTTTCTTTTTTGGGGATAGAACGATATCATATTGTTAAATTACGTAACAGAAGGTGTTACATGAAAGTGGTAAAGAAGATTTGGTGTTAAAAAAAAAAAAACTCATAGCAAATTATTTTTCCGTATCACATAAAATTCGGGCACTCAATTGAGAGTGGAAAAAGGTAAAGGTACATTACTTTAAAAAGGACTCTTCAGTCAAATTAGAACGTCCCATCTGATGTAGGACATAATTGGTACTTAGAATTGCAATCAAATTAAATGTAATAATAATAATGCATGGAAAGTTCAGTTATAACTTTATAGTCCAAAGTAAATCATGTACAGACATAAGATGGTAAAAAAACTAAGAATAATGAGCAGAAAATGATTGTGCATTTGCTAACACGCAAAATCTTAATTAAACTGAATATCATTTTTCCATTTTAATTGGATTTGATCTGAACCTAATTAATTAGGTTTCATTATGCAAAAATAAATAGAGCGAGATATATATGAAGCAGCCTAGAGTTACCTATATATGATTATCGTCATTTTGCATCATCTAATACTTTTTTCTCCAAGATATCTTGCAGCAACTTTGTAGTACTGAGAGATGGCGGCTCACTTGATTCTGAGTCTTTCACGTCCACTTCATTCTGGAATCTCTGCAATTTCTCCAACAATGTCCAACCTTCTTTCTACTGATGATTTGCTGGTACGCAAGATGATGCCTTTCGTTATGCTATGTTCTTGTGTACTTCCAATGATTTTTTCCTTTTTTGTTTTATTTGCCCTATTTATCAAACATTTGCAGAGTTCTACATGATTAATTTTAACATATTGCATATTTGCATATACAATTTCTTTTGCTTGTTTTTTTTTACTTTCTATCTTTAGTTATTTGAATGGATTTCGTGTTGCGCAGAAAACGTATAGGAAAACTCCATTCAATTCTCAATGTGAACATGACTATTATCCCGGTTCAAGATCATCTTCATCTTGTTGTTCAACGTGTTCATCATCAATGAAAAAAGGAGATGGTCATGCCATTTTCACTGCTGAATGTTGGCATTCTTTTCATTTCAACTGTATTACTTCCTATCTGAAAGGCGGCCAAGGAAACCACCAGGTTTGTGCTGTTTGCAATGTGAAAGGGACCGAGATTTCCCTGCAATCTGGCTTCAATGATGATGACATTCCTGAATCAAAACTGAGTTTTCCAGAGGATGAACTCAGTACCATGAAATTGAAAACTTACACAGAATTTCCGGCTGTCTCGCAATCCAGTGCTCCTGATAACTTCGCAGTGTTGATCAATCTTCAAGTTTCGGGCCAACTTTTCGAACCATCATTTCGAGTACCTGTTGACATTGTTACTGTTCTTGATGTAAGTGGCAACATGAAAGGTTCCAAGATTGCATTGTTGAAGCAGGCTATGGAGTTTTTGATACAGAACCTTGGTCCTAATGACAGGCTTTCAGTCGTCGCCTTCTCTGATGCTGCTTGGTGCCTGTTTCTACTTTGTTGGATGTCTGAATCAGGGAAACAGCAGGCATTGCAAGCTCTTAACCTTTTAGAGGTAGTGGGATCAACAAACATAGCTGACGGCCTGATTATGGGCACCAAAGTGTTGGAAGACCGCAAATACAAGAATCCTGTTGCTAGTATTCTGTTGTTATCTGATGGACAGGATAACCATATGTTTAAGCAGTTGCATTACCGGCAAAATCACAGGCCTGATTACCGGCGTCTCCTTCCAGTGTCGATCGGCAGTGGAAAAAAAAAATCCCTGTGCACACTTTCGGCTTTGGATCAGATCATGATGCTACATTAATGCACTCAATTTCAGAGATTTCTGGAGGAGGAACCTTTTATTTCATTGAGAATGAAAGCCTGATCCAGGATGCATTTGCTCAGTGCATTGGTGGCCTCCTGAGTGTTGTGGTCCAGGAGCTTCAGGTGAATATTCAGTGTGCTGATCCCTGGGTCAGTCTTAGTTCTATAAAAGCCGGAAGTTTCGCGAATCAAGTGACTGCAGATGGAAAGAAGGGGAGTATTGATGTTGGTGACCTGTATGCTGATGAGGAGAGGGATTTTCTGGTTACAGTTAAAGTTCCAACAGAGATTTCAAGGGATGAAACTGCATTGTTGAAGGTGAAATGTGTTTACAGTGATCTTCTGACCATGGAAATGATGATTGTGAGAAGTGAAGAAGTTAGGATTAGAAGGCATGAAAAAGCTGGGCATCAAGATGTATCTGTTGAGGTTGATAGGCAACAGAGAAGGCTAGAAGCCGTGGAGGCGATGGCGCTCGCACTAGCCGCTACCGAGAAAGGAGACCTGTCTGGTGCAACATCATTCCTTGAAGAATGCCGGAAGAAGCTGTTGGAGAGTGTATCAGCCAAGTCACATGATATTCTATGCCTTGCACTTGAAGCTGAACTGAAGGGAATGCAAGAGAAACTGGCCAACAGAATTGTATACAGGAGATACGGAAGGGCAAGAATCTGTAAAGGAATGAGATCATTCAGAATGCAGAGAGCCTCAGGAGCTGGTCTCTCAGAAGCTGAACGAGCCTATCAGACACCAGAAATGGCCAAGATGGTTAAAAAATCGAAGGCTGCATGACTGAGTGCTCCTTCAACACAAAGGCTCATTCTACCTCCATCTTCACTAACAGTACAAAGTATTCCTTCAACACAAAGGAATTACTCAATGCAAAGGCTCGTTCGACCTCCAACCCCACTGAATAATCACTTGATGGGGATCTTTGGCTCTTTTTCTCGTTATCCCAGGTTTTGTTCTGGGTGGGGTAAATTTTAGAGGCTTGGGTCTTTGGATGTTAGGGTTTACATAAAGGAATTCAATAGTGAGTTGCAGATGGAATAAGAAGAGGAAACCCAACTGAGATTTTTTGAATATTATTTTCGTTGCTTTGCTTTGCAATTTTGTTACTATTTTGTCGAATATTACTTAAGAAACGAAAAATGTTATCAACAGCGAGGAATATATTCCTCCTCTCTCCCTGGTTACTGCTTCATCATCTTCATCCTCCCCATCCAGACAACAGTCCTTTTAGATAACAAATCACATGTTTTATCATTCGGTGAATGCATTAAGCATATGTTAGCGTGTCGATTACATCAGGGTAGAATATCTTCACCCTACAGCCATATAACCAAATTATATGGGAGTCTGGATTTTCCACTTGTTTGTTGCAAAAGGGAGAAAAATTGTACTAATTGTTATTGAATTTGAAAGCTCCTGTCATAGCAGTGGTCTAGACTTCGCAGAGCAGTATAGGAACTTGGCTCATGTCGACATCCTAAAGCCTGAATTGTAATCACAGTTTGCTGATAGGGAATTGATACCTGAGACGATGTGTTCTTCATGGATTACATATAGACAATAACACTTCAAGTGAAAAATCAGTTCTGGCATTTCATTATACTGATTCCATTTCATCCAGAAAAAAAAGATACAGACTAACATATGGGCCAGAAGCATTAATGTATTACACCCGACTTATACATTTTCCTATAACAGGAAACATTAGACAACTACTAAAAATTTTCTTGAGTAATAGCAACGAATTACTTGTGTTGCAATCGGCACATCTAATTTCTAACTAGTCAAGAGATCTAGTACAGAAAATTTTAGGTTCAAGAAAGCATTACGTCTTTGCAAATAAACTTTAGTCCTCCAATAGTTTACTGGCGAAATCCTAACCATAACATTCTGATTCCTCCTGCCTTCAACTTGATAACAAGCTCAAAAAAAATCAGGATGTATGTCTTCCTCCACCGTCTGATCCATTGATTCAGTATCGTATGCATGTCGGTTATTCATACAGTCACCTTCAGTTCTTAAACCTTTCTCCCTTTCAAGCACAAAACCACTTGCCGGCGTTTGACAATGGAAGAAAGGAACGAAGCACAAAACCACAGTATCGTATATATGTCGGTTTTTTTTTCTTCCTTTTTTTTTTGAGAAGTGTAGGTTTCTGGTGTTACATGATATAATTATGTCAGAAAAACATGACGGAATGGGGATTCTCATGGTGTTTTACTTGATGACTAAAGTATACCTATCAGAGGATCAATAGATCAATCCACAAAAGGCATAATAGGATTTACTATATACATAATTAAAAAAATCTGCAGAATTTAGTCCAATTAATGAAAAACAAAAAACATGTATGTTCCAATCAAATCATACTGATTTATAACTATTAATGCAGCATGAATGCAAGCAGGTAACTGGATGATGGAAGTGTTAGTAAGAAGTGATGAAATGAAATCTGGCTCTTTTGTCATTCAGGCAATAAACAATCTCTCAAGACTTGGATCAGTTTCAGTTTTGCAGTTCCCTTTTATGAAACTTCGGTAGAAATCTAATCAGAGGTCACCAGTCCAAATATAATTGCAGGACGTAGGATCATATCAGGAGCGAGCTTAAAAGCTTATTTAATCCTTGTATTGAATATGGAAGATTTGTGAACTGACTACAATAGATAGTATTATATATATGGATAATATGCTATAGATCCATCCAAAAACACTACTTTCCATCAGCTAAATGGAGCCATAGACACAGCAGGCTAGCTTACTTAGGTTGTTCCTTGTAATATTCCTTTGAAAGGAAGTTGTATTCGCCGTATACAACCTCTTCTTAACTTCCATCCCTTGAAAGCAAGTTGTGTTAGCCGATGATGTATGCAACATTAAGGAAGCACATCAATATCTAGACCAACAAAAAGCTAAAACCAAAGCAGTAGAGATTGCATGAAATGATTGAAATAGCTCAAAAGCAGTCGGTATCAATTGCTTAAGCTTTTTTTCATGAAATATGGAACACTTCTGACTGAGCCAAGAGTTTCACAAAATGAGGTGCGATCATTAACTTATCATATATGCAAAGTAGGCTAGGCAGGAAAATGACAGACATCAGCCAAACAAATTGATAGTCCAGATGCAAAATAGAATTGCGATAGTAACAAATTAGAAGGCGTGAGGCCAGAGACTTTTTACCGTGCGTAATAGAGTCCTTCTATCTCTTTCCCTAGCATTATTGATCGCCTACAGACAAATTCCATAGTAATTAGTTCAAAATCCAGACACAAATAACAATCTCAAAGAACAAAGAACTGTCAAAGAGTAATATAATTAAGGAGGAAGGGAAAAGGATCCGCCATCTCAAGAATTCTGACCTCCTCTAGTCTCTTCTGCTCAGCCTCAACTTCTGAAACATCTCTGCACTAGAAAACAAAGAATCATAAGCTCCTAACCAACATTTCATACAACTTCCACTCAACAGCAAATTAAAACTCTGTAACAGGGCCTTAAGATGTGAAATACCACTATCCCATTCAATGGCAGCAAAAACAATAAGATACCTTCCAACAATATGCTCAACTCAGCAAACACATTATTCTCCTTCGCACATGCTGTAGAATCAATCAAAGTCAATGAAGATTCATTTTTATAGAACTACAACAATTAAATGGATGAAAAACATCACAAAAGACAAAAATTGAATGAACATTTTTTTCTTTACAGCAAAATACAACAAAATTCTAGTATGCAGTCTAGCTCAAGTCTTAAAAAAATTTGCAAACTAACCGGTGCAGAGGTTATGGTAAGCTTGCCGAACAACCCGTTTGGAACATTTTTGGTTGAACAAAGGAAGCAAAGGAAACAAACACCAAGAGTCAAAATTAATCACAAATAAAAAACACACATGCAATAAAAAAATCTTTCAAAGACAAAGGGAAGGACTCAAAAGGAGGGAAATTTTGAAGAACCATTTAGCAGGCTCAGTGAGGGGTTTGTATTTGCTGTATTTGCGCTTCCATTCAATCTGTTCTTTACATCTTGTGCATAATCCTGTGACCTTTGAATACGGCCGGAACTTCCCTCCTACTTCCTGCAATCGTTAGTCCATTACCGCAGTATAATCAGCTTTAATTCGACTATATAATCTTAAAATCGAGCGCCGTTGCCTCCACGGCTTCGAGCCTTCTCTGTTGCCTATCAACCTCAACAGATACATCTTGATGCCCAACTTCTTTAGGTCTTCGAATCCTAACTTCTTCACTTCTCACAGTCACCATTTCCTTGGTCAAAGGATCAATGTAATCACATTTCACCTTCAACAATGCAGTTTCATCCCTGACATTTCAGTTGGAACTTTTAACTGTAACCAGAAAATCCCTCTCCTCATCAGCATACAAGTCACCAGCATCAATACTCCCAACCTTTCCATCAAGAGTCACTTGATTTGCGTAACTTCCGGCTTTTATAGACCTAAGACTGACCCTGGCATCAACACACTCTATATTCACCTGAAGCTCCTTCACCACGACACGCAGAAGGCCACCAATGCACTGAGCAAATGCATCATGGATCAGGCTTTCATTCTCAATGAAAAAAAGGTTCCTCCTCTAAATATCTCCGAAATTGAGTGCATTAATGTGGCATCATGATCTGATCCCCAAAACTATGCACGGGGATCTTTTTTCCACTCTGATTGACATTGGAAGGAGACGCCGGTAATCAGGCCTGTGGCTTTGCTGGTGGTTATGCCACTGGTGATCATTAAAGGTATGGTTATCCTATCCATCAGATAACAACATAATACTGGCAACAGTATTCTTGTATCTGCTGTCTTCCAACACTTTGGCGCCCATACTCAGGCCATCAGCTATGTTGGTTGTTCCATCTGCCTCTAAGAGATTAACAGATTGCAATGCCTGCTGTTTTCCTGATTCATACATTCTAGATAGGGGAAACAGGCGCCGGGCGGTGTCAGAAAAGGCGATAACTGGAAGCCTGTCATTAGGACCAAGGTTCTGTATCAGAAACCCCATAGCCGGCTTCAATAATGCAATCTTGGAACCTTGCATGCTGCTACTTACATCAAGAACAGTAACAAGGTCAACAGGTACCCGAGATGATGATGATTCGAAAACTTGGGCCGGAGCTTGAAGATTGATCAACACTGTGAGTTATCAGGAGCACTGCGAAATAGCCAGAAATTCTTTGTAAGTTTTCAACTTCATGGTACTGGGTTCATTCTCTGAAAAACTCTGTTTCGATTGAGTTTGAGCATCCAAAGATTCATCATCATTGAAGCCATATTGCAGGGGAATCTCAGTCCATTTCACATTCCAAACAGGGCAAACTTGGTGGTTTCCTTGGCCTTTCAGATAAGAAGTAATAATACAATTGAAGTGAAAAGAATGGGAACATTCAACAGTGAATATGGCTTGACCATTTCCCTTTTCCATTGATGATGAACAAATTGAACAACAAGAAGGAGAAAATCTCGAACCGAGGTGACCATTGAGAATTGAATGGAGTTTTTCCATACGTTTTCTGTGCAACACAAAATCCATTCAAATAACTAACGAGAAAAAACCAAAAAAAAAAAGCAAAAGAAATTGTATATGCAATATATTAATTAATCATGTAGAGTTCTGCAAAATTTAATTTATTATAAACAGGGCTATTAAAAGAAAGAAAAAATCATCTTGTATACCAGCAAATCATCATTAGAGCAAAGGTTGGACATTGTTGGAGAAATTGCAAAGATTCCAGAATAAAATAGACGTGAAAGATTCACTTGAGCCGCCATCTCTCAATACTAAAAACTTGCTGCAAGATTTCTTGGAGAGGAAGTATTAGATGATGCAAATCATATAGGTAAACCCTAGGCTGCTCCGTATATATCTGGCTTTTTTTTCCAGGACAATGAAATGTAATTAATATTAGGATCACATCAAATCCAATTCATTGCCTTGTGGTCGTGAATACAGTACTAGTAACTACGAGGAATTGTGTTTGTGTTTACCCAAAGAATTAAGTTATGGTCGAATATTTTGATTTAAAAAGGTGTAATACAACATTCAACTCGGTCAAGCAATTAAAAAGAACCATATTACACAAAATGATACTCCTTTTGGTCCTTAATATAACACACTTCGATTTGTATGAGGTTTCACCTAGTACGATTTTTTTTAATTGAAAACAGAAAACGTTAAATTTCATAATAATCGAGAGAACACAACAAATGTGCAAATACATTTTTAAACTTTTTTTTTCGTCAATTAAAAATGTACATTAGGTAATTTATGACAAATCAAAATACCTTATATATATATATTAAAGATCGGAGGAGCAGAAAACGTTTCAATCTTCAGGATGCCACATAATTATATAATTTATGAACACAATACGTTTCACTATGATTTTAATCATTTTATCGGATGAAGGGACAATCAATAAGAATCAATTAGTCCATATTGGTGGACATGAGATGAGCATGTTCATAAATCATGAATAAGGTTTGGACGTTGGTTATTAATCATCGAAGCAAATTCCACATCTAAACCATATATATACATATTGAATTCTTGTAAAGTCACAGTCAGTAAGTCAACGACGTTTCTGAAACTAAAAGATAAATTTCATATTTAGACCCTATATTTTTAGTATACTCTTATATAGACCATATAATCTTTAGTTCCCAAAACTGCATCCTAGGTATATGCTAGCTTTTATTTCCTTTATATTTCTTGTGCGCACACTCCATAGTCTTCTTTCCCAGGTGACGATTTCAGACCAAAAGGGGTTTTGCTTGGAAGGAGAAAGAATTCGTATTCTGTAAGGAATCGTTCAATTTCGTCATGGCTTTCACTTCTCGCCTCCTCTCCAGATCTTCGCAAAAGGTTATTCATTTTCCCTTTTTATTTGGCTCAACCACACTACTATTTATTCCTGTTTTTTTGCAATGTTCATTTGATTATCCGAAGGCGATGAGTCAATCGACTTATTCATGTGTAGATCGTTAGTTTCTGTCTCCCATTGGAATGCAAGATTAATCTATTGATGTATTTTGTAAAAAAGATAAAAATTCATTTCAGTGAGAAAGATTTGATTTTTGATGTTAATAAGGGCTTACTGATATGCCGTAAGAAATGGGTTCCGCCTTCCCCTTCCCCTCCTGGTGTTTGTTTCATTTTGGGGTTGATTGGGATGGATGAAATTGACTGTTGAATAGTGTCCTGGAGCAGTTTGATGTGGAGGCCGATTAGGTGCGGATTAAAAGATTGTGTAATTTGAAGCTCCATATGTAGTGGATTCTTTCGGTTATATTTTGGGTGTAGTGAATATAAGATTTTGGCTATATGATGTCAAAGGTGATAACAACATTAGTACTGGGTTTGCTTATTGGAATGAACGATAATCCGAACACCAATTTTACGAACAACTTTTTTGTTGCGAGAAACTCTTTTTTTTTCTTGCTAGATGAGTTGAGTGTACGGGAGGAATACAATGAGCTGGGTCAAATTTGAACTTGAATGCTGCTCTGCCACTTTCGGCTAGTTTTTGCTTCTGTTCATGAGAATATATATATCGAACCTGAAAGGGAAAACCTTGTAATGTGTCTAAGTCTTGTTATGTTCTATATGTTACAGTTATGTGTTGGTCAGCTTATGTTGCATCCTGAGCATGCAGTTCAAGTCCGTTCATTTGCGAAGGAAGCATCTGCTCCCACAGCACTAAAGGGCGATGGTAAGTGAAAGATATCTAGGCTCTCCTCAAACTACATGTTTTTCTGGACTCTTCCTGAATCTTTCTTACCTTTTACTCAAATCTGGAACGAGATAAATCTGTTGTTGAAATATTTTGAAGTAGTTGTTTTACATATTTGAAAACAGATGTTTTGGTTCCTTATGCTCTCTACTGCTATCTTGTTTACCTGCCATTTGTTTAAGTTCTGAATTCTTAATTTGATTGGTTAAAGCAAGTTAAGATGAAACATGTTTGTGTATTAAATGTCATTTGGGCGTAGAAGAATAGATATAACCAAGAGGGATACCCACTTTCAAGGAGCTTGCTGTTGGAGCATTTTGGGCTTACTTCTTACCCTGTTTTTGTGCATTGTATATGTATTATGCATGTCAGGATTCCTGCTATGTTTTATTAATGTGAACATATCGAATCTGTGAGATTTCTCTTCTTTCGGGGAAATGCCAATCCCGTCTATCCCAAGTCAAATACATTTCACGATGTTAGTATTTATTAGTTCAAGTTGTTGCTCTTTGCAAAGTTTATTACTTGAGAGCAATGCCTACTTCTTCAATACACAGCTGATACTGTCTCCTATAGATGAACATTTCTGCTGAAAATTTCTATTAAAAAATGGTACTCTACTTGCTAACTCCTTGCAACATTTGTAGAGATGCTGAAGAATCTCTTTCTTGATGTTAAGAAGAAATTTGAGACAGCAATTGGGGTCCTCCGTAAAGAGAAAATCACATTAGATCCTGAAGATCCTGCTGCTGTCTCTCAGTATGCAAATGTCATGAAGACTGTTAGAGAAAAGTAAGGACTTCAATTATTTAGTGATTTATTTTTCATTTTCTTATTATGCAGTCTGTCTGCTACTCTGCGCATATTCAGTAGGCGATTTACTGTTGGGCTTTTTGTGTTTGCAGGGCGGATCTCTTTTCAGAGTCGCAAAGAATCAAATATACTATTGAAACTAAAACAAGAGATATCCCGGATGCTAGGTCTTACCTTCTGCAACTTCAGGAGATTCGGATCAAGTAAAGCCCTGTACCTTCTTTTCTGCTAAAAGTTTTAGAGTATTATCCTTTTTTCCAGCTGCATGAAGTTATCAGATAATCTATTTCTACTTTTCTCTCTTCAAGTGCCGTTTATGAGACTCGTAGTGGTTTTGCATGTACATGTGCTGGTCTTCTGGTGGAAATGTCTGGGATTGCTGAGGTGGCTGTTTTACTTAGCATCATTTACTACAAATAGGTTTCCTTGTTTGAGTGCTTTAGTACCAATTTTCCTATTCCGATGACCATATAGTTGCTTTTACCATAGGCTGCCATTTTCGTCATCACAGTATCTGTTTTTAGAAAATATAGAGTCGATCCAAATTTTCAAAACATTTCCTCATGGTATGGCTGTGATATGCTTGTGCTGCTGTCATGGTATGGGTTACTAGAAGCCAATATTCCTCATGTAAATTCATGTTTTGAAGGGTCGGATGTGTTTCTGAATTGGTTGGCATGTGGCAACAGTTTTTTGTCAGCTTAAGTGCTAGATAACCTTATCAATACTGTTCTATGGTGCGTCATTTGTATGAGCCTTTTTGCTTGGCAGGAGGGGCCTGACAGATGAACTGGGAGCAGAGGCCATGATGATGGATGCCTTGGAAAAGGTTGAGAAAGATTTGAAAAAGCCACTTATGAGGAATGACAAGAAGGGGATGGCCCTCCTTATGTCTGAATTTGATAAAATCAACCAGAAGTAAGATCACTTGCTGGAGGATATGACTCTTGATTTTGCTATCTTTTGATTTTCACTCAAATTGTTTAGCTATAATACTTAGGTAGTGTGGTGAATGTGCTCTTGTTTTAACCTTGCTGTTCAGGATGTCATATAGTATGCTTAATGTGGTTGTCAATTTCTTTTTTTTGTGTGTTGTTTGATTAGGCTTGGGATCCGTAAGGAGGAGTTGCCCAAATATGAGGAACAGCTGGAACTGAAAATTGCAAAAGCTCAATTAGAAGAGCTGAAAAAGGAAGCTGAAGAAGCAATGGACACTCAGAAGAAGAAGTATGTTTTCTCCAACTTATTTCTTTTTCCTTTTTCCTCTCTTTAGTCTTGGTGAATCTTTTTCTACTTGGTTCGAAGTATGTAACTATTTTTGCCACACTTGAGATGATTACATGTCATCCACTTATTACATATATGGATAAAGGCTTCGTTGTAAAGTAATTTGTTTATTATCTTTGCAGAGAGGAATTTAAGGATGAGGAGATGCCTAGCGTGAAGTCTTTGGATATCAGAAACTTCATTTGAAACTTCATCTCGTTAACTGTTTTGAGATTTCGACGACAAGTTTCCAGTAGACTGGTTTTTGATGAATAAAATTATGACCTGTAAACAAGTTTTTTTTGTTCCAATATAAAAATTTTCCTACTGTTGGGGAATTTGCCCACTATTTTATGAATCCAGAGATGTACTTTTGCTGTAAAGAATTACTCAGCTCTTGTTTCATGGTTTCTACTTTGCTACTCATATCTGACTTGAAGGTAAAGTATCATTCAAAAGCAGTTCATACAGTGACCCCATTCTGGGGCAAAAGAAGTTACTCAACTATTCAAAACTACTTGTAACAATAACCATAGTACATGACAGTAGTAGAATGGCAAGTGTGTGAAACGATTCTGTGCATATAAACATCAGATCAGTAGTACATGGGTATGAGATGATAAGTTTTGCAGATGGTTTAAATGAAAAATTGCTACATCTCAGGTTGTAAACAAATTGTAAACATGACAATGAAGCTACGCCTCTGTAAACAAGAAGCTAAGTTGAAGCAAAACCGCTGCCAATTCTTCAAGCAGCTATCTAACTGTGACACTAGGTCTCTGAAATGTTCTCTCATACCCGTTTCCTGCCCTATCAGAGTCATTGAGAAGCCTTTTAGGACCTGGAAGAATAGAGACAAGGAAAAACAAGAAAGGAAAAAGAGGAACTGAAAGCTTGTATGTATAATGTCCATAAAATAAGATTGGGGCAGAGCTTTTTACTAGATTCTGCTTTTGGTAGATATACATTCTGAGTATTAAGATCCAGATAAGCTAGTGTAAGACTGTAAGGTATAGAGACTAATCCATTAACGAGTTTCAGAACTTGGTCATATCTTGCTTTTGAGAACGTAAATTCCAACCAAAGATCTTAAGCAAAAAAGAAAATCCAAACTGTCAACACGAATCAAGTAGCCCATCTATTATCGCTCAAATATTCAAATGAATGCACAAGTGGGGGAAAATTCATAGCTGGTCCTCATTAAAATGCAATGGACTTACCTGTTGCTGCTATTAAATAGAATGAGGTAAACAGGGTCCTGAGTAGATAGATGGAAAAGCTGGAGGATGATGTACAGACATGTGGCCACACTGAAATTCAAAGAAAGATTTTCTGAACATTAAGTCAAGACCATATGATTCTTAATCCGCATATATCAGTTAATACTGAATGTAACAAAAGGAGAAGGGGAATGTTCAGTACAATATGCAGAAATGCTTGTCATTGGATGGTATTAAAGAGGAAGCTATGTGCTAAGTCTTTCCTCATTAGATGGCCATCTAACTTCTCAAAAGATCAAAACAACAAGCTGTGTAAAATTGTGATCTGATATACTAATACCAGACTAAGTCCACCATGTATTACGGTCCTTAAAATCCCATCTTCTGAATGCCACATTTGAGAGGACTTTCGAAAAACTTAATGAGGTTCAGAACCATATCAAGTACCAATGGGCAAAAGAACCAAACATGCACCGAATGACTTATTCCATTCTTAACTTGTTTTGGATCAGCAAGGTTCCAACCATGGAACTTCTAAGTTACTATCCTGCCCTCTGCCAAATCAACCTGATCTGCCCTCTAAGTGCTCTGTTTATGGTGGCAAAACATAGTTCAAATCATGCAAAAAATGTAGATTTACATAAAATAAAGAGTGCATTCTGGCATATGCACGCACTAAAAACCGAAAGGAAAAAAAAGGCATGAATATGATACCAGCTCACATAAGATCAGAACTAAAAAGGATTACCTGCCAATGCATACTAATAGAAGTACCCAAATCGTAGCAACAATCCAACTTGATTCCTTATAACAGACCCAAACCTGGAAATTCAGACAAATGATACAACATAATTGAGCAATAAAGAAGATAGAACTGAAAATTGTTCCAGTTTGCAAGTATTTAACATGCCTCCTATAATTAAGTGGCAGTTCTATTTTTTTTTTTCTTTCGCAGGGTCAATAAAGCACAGAATAAACTCTTGACCCTTAATCCTTTTATCAAATATATGAGCAGAATGTTTGAAGTTAACAATTTTAATCTCTGTTGTCAGCAGAAAGAAATCAGACCAATGCACTTATAATTTGTAGCTTCTGCACCACATTTTAAGAAAGGTAATCGAAAAAGCAGATCTGGAAGAAGTTTAAGATAAGATTATAAGAATGTAAATGACGATTGAAAACCTTGAAAATTGGAAACAAAATTTGGGTACATATGGAACACTTCAGATTTTGCACCTAATATTTCACAACCAAATTATATTAGACTGCAGTATAGGCACACAGTTTAAGAGGGTTTGTATCCAGCCAAATAGAGGATTAGTTGAATGAAAACTAAGCCTTTGACCAATACTGGATTATATTTCTCTATTGCGGCCCGTAAACCCACTGATCCTCATATCTAAGTCGCCCGAATGAAATATTGGTGTAGAAATCAATAAAAGTTGGTGTAGAAATCAGTAAGAGTTGGCGTAGAGACATACCGACAGTGCCACAACATTGGTGTAGAAATCAATAAGAGTTGCTGACAACCACCTACATTGGATGAAAATGCATCAAAGTGAAATTAATATTTAACTTGCAGATACTTCAACTTTATCATCTAAACACAACAATCTGCCTCTCTGTAACACAAGTACACAACATTGAAGTTTTTAAGGAAACTTTTTTTTTTTTCCAATTTGCTTCAGAGCAACCAGTGGTCATAATCTTGGACAGTAAGAAAGTTTAAAGTTTATTAACATTGTTCAACTTCCTCATTTTTTGAACTGAAAAAGTATGCATACTTCATCCACTCCCTACCTGAGCAATAACTGAACTAAAGTGTAAGAGAAACCGCCACAAAAAAGGGAATTAAAATTAATGAGAGATGTAGAACACTCGAGCAAACTAATCAATTGTGCACTCAACTTAAACCTTAATTAGGAGTAGAATGCCACAATATATCAATGTTAATATCCAAGAAGATCTAATACAAGAAATCTTAGTTCCTTAAGTATTTATCATCAGGAAAAATACCAGGTTGAATAGTTTTCAAAAAAGAGAGATAAGAAACTATACGGTTTAAGTAGAGATTACAAAATTTTTACTAAATACATGCGCTTAAGAAGCTCTCTTAAACAGCAAAAGAACACACAAAGGAGAAACACTTACGGAGTCAAAACATCTTTGCGAAATGGATTACCATCAGTAGCAATAGTATATATCAATGTTCCGAGCATCAAACAACCCAAAGCTCCAAATAGAACTCTTGCAACTACAACAGAAAATATCTTTTTATCTTCTGTTCCTTCTCTGAATAGAAAAAGATGGAGCACGTAAGAACTCAGATTTATCATTTAATAAAGAGCCGCAAAAGAGAAATATCAACAAGCTTCTGTGTATCTCAGAGAAATTAGAAAGAGCATTCAAATAACGGAAGGTGAAACATTAGCTACCCCAGAATATATGCTAACATTTTAAATGAGACCGCAGATACATAAAAAGGTCTTAAAGAAACAACTGAGCAGCAGTAGTATTGACAATGAGGAAACAACTGAGTGAAGAATAAGAAAGGGGTATAAGATTGTCATGTAAGATAAATACAGAGCTTGGAATGTCGTGTTCAGATAGCCGTGTTCAGATACTTTGTCGTGGAGTCTTATTTAGCCGTGTTCAGATACTTTGTTTTCACTCGTCATGACAAGAGAATCTCAAGCAAGTTTCAAAATGACAAACCATATAGACATGTTTAAAATTGAATTAAAGTGAGACTCCCTATCTTAAGAATTAGAGATTCTAATAAGCCTTGTGGAAAGGATCAGGTAAAGCATACAAGTACAGATTCAATAAGCTACAGAGCAATGATGATAATGACAACGAGTAGGGCACTTACTTTTTCTTCCGTAACAAAACATAGAAAATTGGATCTTGCGAGGATTCCTGAGGCGAGAGCTTAAACAATTGCAAAACAATATAGAAACAGGTGGCAATGCTGCAAAGAGAAGAATTTTTTCTTTTCATTATAACTGCAAAATGGCAAAAGACAAGACTCGTGAAAGAAAGAAAGAAAATCAGAAGTGCGAACACGAGAAAGGATGATCTTACCTTCCCAAGCATATCAGCAATATGATCCAAACTAGTGAACTGATCCAATTGGATTCCTTGTACACCACCCAAACCTGATTTCATGAAATGGATAGTTCATTAATACAATTTATTTTCCCTCTTGAATCAACTTTGGAAATATAGAGAATCAACAGAAGGCAGCAACTTTGTGATAATTGAAGAATTGTAAAACTACTAAAATCAAGAAAGTAAGGAACTGCCACATGCATTATAAAACAGACAAATCCACAGAATTAGATACTACAGAGCCACAAATTTCCATACCGCAATAGCCAGAATGTTAATGTAGAAATCGATTAAGGTAGCTGCCATCCACCTGCAAATCAATCACAGAAACCAGTTTAAAAAACACCAGGATCATAAAATATCAGAAACCACAAAGGTAACGCGACAAACTAAAGAAAAGAAAAAAAGAACCCTTTTTTGATCCCTTTACTGAATTATACAAAAGGGATGCTGGAAAATGCATGAAGCCCATCAAGCAAAAACGTATTCATAAATGAATGCATAAAGAGAGAGTGAAACATACGGGGTAAGAAGTTCTTTGCGGAAAGGGAGGCCATCAGTGATGATGGTGTAAATAACGGAGGCTGTAATGAAACAACCCAGAACGAAGAAGAGACTTCTCAGAGCAGTTACTGACACTGCCATTATCGGTAATTTGGGAGTAACTTTTACTATCTGGGTATGTGACAGAACAGGGGAAGAAAAAATTATGATGAAGAACAGACAAATGATCGATGCTGATTTTTGGGATTGATTATTTCTGGAAATGAAGAAAATTTTGATTTGGAAATAATCACTGTGTGGAAATGAAGGTAACCATTACTCCACGTCTCGAGGATATAAGCCATTATTACAATCTTTACTTGTGCGGTCCAAACTCCAAAGTCCAAACCCAACTGAAGACGACTGAACACACAGTTCTTTTTTCCTTTTTCTGATTGAATAACGTTACATTGGAAAATTAAGGCTTAGAAGTCAGAACTCGCGCGTTTATTTTGTTAAATCTTTCACCACAGGAGCTTTATTCCGTAATGAAAGAGAGAAGACTTTAAAGATGACAATTTGGCTATGATCTTACAATTTTACTTGCATCTTAGTTTACAATCAGTTGATAGAATTTATGCAAAATTAGTAAATGTTACCACTACAAACTGTTGCTCCATCCCATATACTGTACTAAGAATAAAATTTTATTTATGTTCACACCTCGAAAGGATAAGCCATCTGAAAGTTCTCGCCTGAAACTTTAACTAATCAGATGTAGCTTATGCATGGACATTGAAGCCCTCAAATAAGAGCAAAGATTTTCTCAATCACGGATAAAGATATTCAGGCGAAACATCAACGCAGAGGACAACCCGAGTTCATAAAATTCTACAAAATTCCTACAGAAGTAGATATCAGACATTGAACTGGATAGCTATTGGTACAAAAGAATAGTCGAGCTTATCGATGCAGTAGTTCAATTGAAAGAGAGGAAGAACAAATAAGTTTCCATTAACAAGCGCATCCACCCCTTTGCTCGCTTTCTGGTGTAGCCTCAGGAATACTTTGGAAGTATCTGCCGAATAAAGAAACTAATGTTAGATGCAGAAATGCGGTTTGGATCTCAAGAAAACGTAATGGAGGTGCATCGTGATTCAAGTTTGATCCAGTACATTGTGATTCTTCCCAAAACAAAAATTCAAAACAGACATGCTCAAGGCAAAAACCGGTCAAAATTGTAAGCTGAGATAGTCCTAGCAAAATAGTCAGGCCATGTGAACTTGCAGAGGTATTTATATCCTCAGGAAGTTCAACGATTAAACTAAGTAGCAGTAAGACACAGTGCACAACAGCACAATCGACATTGAAAACAGATGACCACACCACCATCTGTCCACAACCACATAAGTTAGTCATGATTCATACTATTTCCTCAGCACAAAAGCATGCATGCCTAGTTTCTTCAAAAATCTCAATAACAACATACTATTCTCAGAATTCATAATATAGCAAATGACTTCGATATTCCTTCTATTAAAAGTAAAACTCACATATCTTGCTCATGTTCGTTGGCTAAAGCAGTTTTAGCAATACAAAGGAAGGAAGCATCGACATTGTAATCCTCCTTTGCTGATGTCTCGAAGTAAGGAATGTTTCCTTTTGAGGCACACCATTCCTTGGCTTTCTTCTCAGAAACCTGATCCCAGCAAATACATTATACATAAAGAACCATAATCATAATAAACCGCATAAACGTAAAGGGTCTTACCACTCGGCTATTTCCACCATCAATATCGATCTTATTGCCAAGCAATATAAACGGAAAATTCTTTGGATCAGCTGGGTTGGCCTGTTTAAAAATAAAAGATTAATACACAAATCTGATTTTTCATTTTTTCATATCTATTAAATCTGAAACATAAATTATGAAATAAGAGGACAAACTTCAACCATAATTTAGAGATTTCAGGTTATTGTAGATGATATGTTCCCAAAACCAAGCTTGCGAATTCGTGCCTTATTAAACCATCAAGCACAAAAAGGTAATCCGAGAAAATGCAAACTTAGACTAGGCAGAGATACTACTTTCACTCATTTTGATCTAACATGCACAACAGCGATCATTTATCTGTGATTCTAATCCACAAAAAGACACTAGTCACTAACAATAACCCTAAATTCAAGAACTGACTCTGAGACTTTCCATGAAGAGCCAAAGATCATAAAACCCTCTCTAATCCACAAATGGAGACTAACGACTAATAATATCCCAAACTTCAAGAATTGGCCCTGAGACTTTCCAAGAAGAGCCAAAGATTATAAAGCCCAAGGGACCAATCCAATTCATTCTTACAAGACAGCTCTTTGGTCAAGAAAAAGGATACTGCAGCAACCCATACTATTTATGGAACAACTCTGTTTAACTCCCCATTTCAACCAAGAACACAAAAACTCCTACATTGTACTTAAAATTTGCATAAAAGATGGACAAATTACTGGAAAAAATTCCCCATAATCGATGGCTCTAGAGAACACCAAAAGGTTATTGTATGCTGATTCTAATATGAACTTCGTACACAATTCAACAGTCTTGCCGCTGCTAAAAGGAAGCTAGCAGTGCCTCCACTTTAAAATCACAACTTTGCTCTTTACAATTCTAAAATCCAGTGAAATTCAAGAGTGTATAATGCAGCTAGTAACCTCCAGAAAACAATACAGGACTTTGACATTTCAAACCACAAGCATACTATTCTCTGGTCACTGAAAAGCTGCATAACATTGCAGTAATTGTTAATGTTCCATGGAAATTCTATGATCAAATCTAGCATGACACCAAATAGTAAAACAAAATGATATCACTGACAAGAATATGAACCTCATCTAGATCCATCCAATCAATTTATCGTGATTGTGCCAATATAAAATGATTCATTATACGTCAAAAAACTCATCAGCAATAGACTTAACTAAAACAAACACAGGAACGTACACAACCAGGTAGCTTAGCTCCTTTTATCATTATTATTACACAATTAACAAAAAGAAGGAATCTTGAACCGAAAAGCTGCATTTCTGGTTCTTCACTCATACTTTTATTGATAAAGTCCCCCTCAAGATCTCGCCTCTCCAACATACATTATATGTAAAAGTAGCCAGAAAAGTATAACAAATTGTAGATAATTTTACATACATCTTCCAGATGTCTACTAACTAAACAATTTCCAGGAAGATTGAAGCAGTAGTTCTATGACAGCTTAGGTACCTAGGGGCAAATTCATAAGTGCTTCTGTGGTTTATACATATTATGAAGTTACGGAACTCAAAAGTTATGAAAACAGTTCAGTTCAAGGTGCAGAGTGCACATAAAGTTTTAAAGAACCAAAACACTATTAACTTTATCCTTAGTTTAAAAAGTACATTTTGAACTTGCGTCTAATATGAGAAAACAGTTTTGACTAAGCTTCAGATAACTTTAACTTCTATTATTTCTACTCAAACAAATCAGTCACAATAATCTTTATTTTAAGTATTTCTTTATTCAACTCATATTTACATTAATGTGATCTTGAACTCAGGCAGCACTTGAGGGATCCTATACTAAAACTTTTTTAGGTTTTACAGTACTTGAAGACGATGCATATGCAATGTAAGATATAAAACAAAAGTAAAAAGATTAACAAAAATCATCACTTAAAAACAAGTTCACAAACCTGTCTGAGAAACTCTTCATGCCAATTGTCAAGGGCGTCAAATGATCTCATTACGTTTACATCATACACCAAAACACAACAATCCGCCCCTCTGTAAAATGCCACTCCAAGACTCTGAAATCTCTCCTGACCTGCAGTATCCCATATCTACAACATACAAATATTGCAAATTTGATTAAAGACCAAATGTGGAAAACTGAACCAAAATTAGAAAGTCAACTTCTTTTTCTGTTCGTTAGAAAAAGAGAAGATAGTGGAACGCACTTGCAGAGTAACCAGCCGATCATCGATCTGGAGTTCCTTAGTGACAAAATCGGCTCCAATGGTAGCTTTATACTGCTGACTAAATTTCTTGTGTACATATATGTTAAGCTATTAAGGCCCACATTAACATAATTCCAAACAAAAAGGTTCATCATTTATTAGAAACCATCTAAGTAAAGGAACAACTGAGGAAGGAGTGGTTTTACAGTGAATTTCATTAAAACTCAAATTACTCTTCAGTTATTTAAACCTCATCGCCAACTTCGTGGGAAAATGCACAAACCCTGTACGGCCATTACTTAGAACCATTCAAGAATGAAAAGTGATTTAGCAATGTAGTTAATAGAAGGCCATAATTCACCCATTTAAGTCTCTCCAACATATTTGGAGTACAATAACAGCCAGATTACTCCAAGAAATAGGATTTCTAACCGGGGGAACCCACAAACAAAACCGAGGGAAAAATCAAAAGGTCACAGAAAGGCAAGCAACCGCAGGCAGAATAGCTCAGATCAAGCTAGAAATTAACTTCAAAAGGATACTGATTCATCAATGAAGTTTTCCCAACCCTGAGAATTTAATCAACAAAACCAAGATCCATGAGCTAATTAAACACTATAAACTTCAAAATGCCGCAGGGAATGAAAACACGATGGATTGAAATCACAAATAGGAGAAAAAAATTAAACTGGAAACTTACCCGCTATCGCCAAGGACGATTACCTTGAGCAATGTTCGTCTACGCAGTGACATCTTTTTTTTTTTTTTTTCCCCCTTTTTTTGTTCTTTTTTTATTTGTTGTGGTTCGGGTAAAAAAATTTAGGATTTGACTTATATATGGTTGAAATAAAAGGAGAGAGAGAGTGGACAGAGAGATGAAGATGAACTAGTGTGTGAGTGTGTGAGAGAGAAAGTGAAGGGGCGCGCCAATTTCGATCTCCAAAGAAGAAGAAGAAGAAGAAGAAAGAAGGAAGGAGAAGAATGGTTTTTTGGCTTTATCACTCTGTGTGAGTGTGTGAGTACGTGTGATTCGGTTAATTAATCTTAAAAAAAAAAACCAATTAATTCTAGTTTATTGGGCCGGATCCGACAAACTTCTAAGGAGTTCACCGGCCCATTCCTCTTTATCTAGTTTAGTATTCTCTAATTAATAATGTCCACAAAAATGATCAGTTTGACAACATAATTCAATGATTTAAAATTAAACTTACGTCACTGAATGATTCTATCAATGACGAAAGTCCTTAGATCACGAATTTATTTTCTTATTTTGGTGAAAAACATCAGATCAAAATAATTAAATCGTAAAAAAAATTAAAATGCAAATCTACAACCCATCACCGTCTGAAAATTACAGTAAGAAAAGGATATACAATGACGAAATGATCATTTTAATAATGCCCACGCAAAATGATCATTTTGACAACATAAATCAATGGTTGAAAACATGGAAAATTTTATACCTACGTGACTGCATGATTCTATCGATGACGAAAGTCATTAGATCAAAAAGTTCTTTTTTTTTTTTTTATTTTTGGTGAAAAGATCATATCAAAATTTTTAAAATCGTATAAAAATTTAATACTCTATTAGTTTCAAAATATATTTAAAAATGAAAATTCAAACAGAACAATGGTTTTGAAACTAAGAGAGTAATAAAACCGTACATCGGATCATCGTCTAAAACATGCAATAAAAAGAGCTACAAAATTGCTCTTAAATCTCTACTGGGTTGATCAAGTTTTGAGATTTTTCAATCTGTTAGTAGTGTTCTACGTACCTCGAAAAAAAAAAAAAAAGTTGAATAATAGTACTCTTTTTCCTGTTACCCAAAAATTTACAGATAAGACATAGTATTGGATTCTGTAGTATAATCAAATATATGACTTGGTAACGGAAATATAGTGTTTTTCTGTTCGGAATGCAAATATGCCATATATCACCGATATTGGAAAGGCGAATTTGAGAGAGATAAGACTTGTATATATATAGACAAAATATTTGGTCATTTTCGTTTTTGAATTTTAGTTCCAAAACATTAGAATTTGACTAAAAAAAAAGAAGCAAAAAGTAGGTGCAAACGGGGACTGAAATAGAAAAGTATGAGTTATAAATAAAGAGAATAATATTTGTCTATACTGTCTTGACAAGGATCTTAACAGGAATCAAATTAAATTGCATCACGCAAAAAAATTTTGTATACGTAATAATTTACGTACTCTTAATCTTATAAATTGCAGCTGTATAATTCTTGCAGCACAAGGCCTCCAGGACGGAACAAGCAACACGGAAGCATTGCTAACCACACTTCCATCTGATATACGGAATTCCTCCTCTTTGGGCTTATATTACCAAAATATAATTGCTCATGAATTAGCTCTTATAACTAAGAATAGCAGCAACGACCACACTGTTTGGTCGAGACTACCAGATACAATTTATCATGCACAGTTGGACGATTTCTAACACACATGAAATGAATATATCAATTTAAAAATAACTAGTAAAATTTAAAATATTTAATTCAATACGAATAAGCATGTGTGGATTACGATATAGGAATTAAAACTCGTATGCGACGCAATTTACTAAGTGTCCTTATTCGACTTCTGCCCGTGCAATTTAATTAAGTGTCCCGGGCAAGGCGGTGCTGAAAAATAATTTCTCTCAATTCTACAAAAAAAAAAATGAATAAACAAGTTAATGACACTAAAAGAATTGAAATGGAAATAATGATGGAGAAAGGCAAATAGGTAGCTAATGGAGGGGACAAATGGTACTGCTAGGAAACTCCCACCTCAGATATATATGCTGTGCAGAAGAATTTAGCAGTTGACTTTGTATAATTGACTTAAACATTTTTCTTGTTAGAGACTGATAAAGATGCTAAAGTGCCTGAATGTAGAAAAGGAAAGTGTAACATTAAATGAAGCCTCAGGAGGGTCGTGTGAAATTATCACTTTGACGAGCTAAAACATTATGATACATTAAATTAAATAAATTATTAAAATGAGATGAAGAGAATATTCATTACCAGAAATTACAATGCGTTATTATGTCTTATATTATATATAGTTATATCAATGTATCGACCAGTTAAATATGATATGATAGGCTTGTAAAAAGAAAAAAAAATGATATGATAGGTCTCTCTTCAAACAAATACTATCTCCGTTCCAAAAAAAAGTCCATATTAATATTTTAAATTTATACAGTTTTTAGTATAAATTTCAAAATTCAATGTGGTTTATTTGTTTTGGGACGGAGGGAGTAATTAATAAATAAGAACACAAAAAGAAGAAAACAACTATGTATTACAACCAAGTTCAATTTGAATCCACAGTCTCTAAGATACATGAATCGTACGAAAGCCGTTTCGAAAATAGTGAAACGAACTAAATCTTTCTTCTTTTTTTTTTAATTTAATTTTTTTGGTTAAGACCTTCATTGAGGGTTAAAACCCTAAAACAACTGTACCAGAAAAAGGAAAGTGAAAAACAAAAAGTTCGGGAGGGAGGGAATGGAATCTATCTGTAAATAAGAGGGAGTGAATCTATTATGCATATTTACCGAATCATTTTGGTAATTGATATTAGAGAATACTAATCATCGGTCCTGAATCCCGTATTAAAAATCATTCATGTCACATTAAAATACTTAGAGAATAGAATACGCTTGTATTAAGCAATCATCAACGAGACTATTACTTGACTTATACAGAGAAACCTACAACTAAATAATACCACATGGGATTATTATCACAACCAGAGATATAATTATCACATTGACAAAAATAGTTGGATCGATAATCAATAGTTTTATTTTGTGCTGGAGGAGTAAAATTATTTGGGAAGAATATATACATACAGTATAACTGTTCCGGAAAGGGTAGTACAACGATTCTAACCAGAATATTCATGCATGCATCTTTAGTAAAAAGATGGCTGTGAATCTTCCATTACACCGACAAATACCTTTTAGACTTTTACGGCAGCTAGATTTATCCTTTTGCACACGACAGTGAATTTTATTTTATATCTATATATACTCTCTCTATATGTACGGACGTAGACTTAGGTATAACCAAGATTTACCTCATTCATCAAATTACATCATCATGTTCGACATCATAGAATTATACTTTAGAAATTTATAGTCGGATCGATGAGATAGCGTAAAATAGCTCTCTATACAGTTAGTTGATTCTCTAATTAATCTGGTTTAGTACCTCATTTAAAAAAACATTTCAAATCAATTCTCAACGTTTAATTATTATTATTGTTATTATTACTGTTATAATCAACCGCAGCCTGTGCTATATGAGTTTGATTATTAAATTTAATTGTCATTGGTTGAAACGATAACTAAGATAGAGTTTAATTTGATCCGAAAACTAATAAAGGATTGGAAAGAAGTAGAGTAGGGTAAACTAATTAAGGGGCTATTCAAGCGATTAATGATTGAACTCCATTTACTAGCTAGGTATTTCACTTGACAAGGGAACCTTAGAAGTAAGAAGCCCCCTATGTTATTGCTTGGAAGTTGGTCAGGAAGCATCTTTGGAAAATGACAACTAACTTATCATTATAGAATTACTATATATGTATATAAGGATATCATCACCTCCACACTTCATTCCTTGAAAGCCAAAACCAAAATAACCTACTTATAGACTACGTTTCCAAGTCCTTTCCTTAGTTCTCTTCTTTTAAGTCTTCTCCACATTTCTATCTCGCACACCATATCATGTTCAACTCCACTTTTCCATCACCACCACCACAAGGGCAAGCCATTGCTGTTCATGATAATGGTGGCGGCCGCGCCGCTCCCAACACTTACCCTATCATTGATTATAACTTGATTCACCAATATTTTAGCTATCATCTTGACTTGGATCAGCCACCAAAGATCATAAATAGTACTAATACTATGTTTGAAGAATATTATTCCAATCATTCTAGCTTCACTTCTACTACTACTATTGATACACCGTTTGTGTCATCATCTCAAAAAACTAGCAATGGTAGTTCATCGGCTGGATCCTTTGATGGTTTGCCGATGGATCGGCATGATGATGATTCCAGGCAGCTTGATGATGAGTTAGTGAAAAACTTCGGAAATTTTCAGAAAGAATAGATAATGGTTTTATTTTGTGTTTAATTAATCACCTGAATTAATATATACAAAACTTGGATAGTTTGTAAAATGGTTTTGTACTTTTGTCATGATTTTTGGCTTTGATGTTTTTGTTTTCTCAAGATGCAAGAAGGATGAGAAGAAAGCGAAGGTTGAAGGACAAGTGATTGCACTTCGAACACAAACAGAACTGGAGACCTTGGATGATGGGTTCAAATGGAGGAAGTATGGGAAGAAAATGGTGAAGAGTAACCCTAATCCTAGGTCAGATTTTTTTGTTTTGTTTTGTTTTATTTTGTTTTTTTTTTTTTTTAAAAAAATCAAATTCAGAAGCACGATGTAAGTTTCTATAATTAATACTTTGCATGTCCTCCTATATATAATGAACACACAACAGGCTAGCTAACTCTATAATCATATGGCAATAATTCCTAATCGAATATGTTAATTAAGTTATTACTAGTAAGAAGCTAGCACCAATTTTCTTAGAAATATATAGCTCCTCGAAATAAAATTCTTGTTTCTAAAACTAAGGAATAATCTCCCTGTTCTTAAATGATTGCCCTGCTTGTTTACTGAACTATATTTTTGTTTCACAAACTAACCATCATATAGTAACATCATGGATCTTTCTCTTTTAAGTCAACTTCATATCTGAATTTTTCGGGTCGTTTTAGTGGTCCTTTACCCTAGCTAGCTAGTAATCTACCTTTCGTTTTTTTGGTTTCTTGTTTTTTTGGGGGGTTTTTTTTTCCGCTTCTATTTTTGGATGGAAAAATGGAACTCGGAAGGAAGCTAAAGCATCCATTTGTTTGTATACATATGCCAAAGTTCAGCTTTAATTCCATTACTCAATCTAATATTATTGAATTAATGTTGTAGGGATATTAGGAGTTTATCTTTGATACGCGCGGTGTGTTCCCCCATTTGTATATAATAATTTGTTCCCAAATTTGAGTCAACCACGTGTGCTTGTATGTTTTATGTTTCCACTCCACAAGATTGACTCAGTACTCAAAAAGGCTCATTCGTTAAGAATCATATATACACAACAGACTTAATCAAAGCCATCAATGGGAAACAACTTGTTTTGATTGTTGTTTTGTGCTTTGTATTCTGCTCCATTTATCGAATTTTTTCCATCTCAAAATAATTATAGTGTTTGTTATATTCTTTTTAAATTTGAAATAAGTGTTCTATATACTTTTAATACGTCATCCGTCTCAAAATAAAATTATTGTATAGTGTTTATTTTAATTCAATAAAATTGATTTATTTTGAAACAGATCAAGAATGGACACCGTACACAGAAACCCTAAGATACTTGTTAAGACTTCAAGCTTCAAATAAGAATTTTTGTGACGGAAAAAGTATTTTACTATACGAGTGTTACTGTACCATCATAGACGCATACACTCTGTTTTTCCTTGCACATGAGCCCGTTATATATTTTGGGTTATTGTTAATTTAATTTCCCCATTGATTCCTAGTTTTCTTTTCTGGGGGGACAAACACACATTGATACTTTATTTATTCATTATGATACTCCCTACGTCCCATAATTATTGTCCAGTTTAAGTTTTCATTTTTAATTCAAATCGTATTAAAAGTGAAATCTCAAAGTGAACAATAATTTTGGGACAGAGGGAGTATGTGTTAGTAAAATGAACCAAAATTTACCTCATTAAGTTTCTTCTGATCGATGGGTTCATCGTATGTAAAACAGGCATTACTATAAATGCTTAATTGGAGGATGCAAAGTGAAGAAAAGAGTAGAAAGAGATGGAGAAGATTCAAGCTATTTGATAACAACCTATTTTGGGAAGCACAACCATGAAAGCTCTTGTATTGTTCACTGTGATCGGTTGCCTTACGGCCTCATGCTCCGGCCATCTCAATCTACCTAAATTCACCCCATATGTGTAGTTCCTTGGCTTAAAAATTAAAGAACATGAGTACTCACGTTGTTGTTAACTATGTGTATCTTGATATGAACTTTTATCGTCTAAAACAGTTTCGAGTTGATTTTCAAATTTTCATTATCGATAAGTACAATTAACCACAATAAAATTACTATAACAAAAGTAAGTCCTCTCTGTGTTGGAGTGACATAACATTAAACTCGTTCTATCTTAATATGTTTGTCCTGCGATGTAACAATAGTTAAATTTTAAAAACGATAGACTAGTTTTTCTTTTGTGCTAGAATCAAATGATAATTTTAATAAGTGAATAGATAGTACAGTAAGGTTAATTTCCACTTTTCGAGCGCAAAAAGAAAATTGAGATATTTAAGTGAAAGAAAAGAAAAAGACGTATGTCGTCATAAATTCTTCGAACCTCTTACATTCATACACATAAGAGGTTTTAAATTGCTGAACTTATTGGATTTACAAAGTATGACGAATGTTTTTTTAATATTTTTCTCGTCCCAAACTTACAAATTATTTTAAGACGAAAAAAATATCAGACTAAATCGTACATGCATAAAACGCATGTTTTTGGTTTCCCATGTGAAGAAATTACGATCCGCAGCCCCCGTAGACTTTGCCATTAATTTTGAAACATATCCAAAATCTGAACATTTATGAACGTGTGTTCTTGAGTCTTGATACCTGGTACAGACTATATAGTAAGTAAAGTTACGTTGAACAGTTTGCACTTTTTTCTTTGCCCACATTTCATTTTCAGACGTTCTTCTAGAGACTTGGAAGAAGCAAATTTAGTTTGTTTAACCTTAATTTCATCTAAGAAAAGTCTATTTTTTGTCAGTTAACAGAAGATTTAAATTTGTTTGTTTGAGTGACTAACTATAGACTAATCCACAACAATGCAAGTAGCACAAATAAACTACTTAAAAGTGACTTGCTTTTAGATTTTTCCTTTTTTTTTTTAATAAAAAAAGGAAAAAAAACAGGTACAATAGACCATTCTTTTTCACTATATTAATTTGTTGAAGCAGGCCTCAGTGGAGAGTTTTAACTCTCAAAAGTTTATATAATTCGAATTTGTCAAGATAGTTAATTAATGGTCCCTGCATGTGCATGATATTCATTATCCTCTCCAAATAATGGTTTATTTTGACCTGATCAAATCAATTTCCTAGCACAAGTGATTGGGGGATTCTAGTAACAGCTTCGGGTTTTAATTTTCTTCCACCTGAAATTCGAATCTGGAAAATTCATAGCCACCCCCATTGTCAAAATTGAGTTGAAATTGAATATTATTCGCACATTGAAATTAAGTGGATTAAAAGTCGTTCTACAGTGGAATTTTTGTGGTTTGCTTTTCGTTTTCTACATCTTTTATTCTTCATTCTCACCGTTCTTAAAATAAAAATTGGGTTTAATTTAAACAAATTAAATTTTTATTATGAAAAGAGGAATACAAACGTTTTTCCCTAGAGCTTTAAAAAAAAAAAAAACAAAAACAACAAGAGGAAAAAGCAAAGCCTTAAAGTCGGTTTAACATGGGAAGGAAAAGAAATGAACTTCCTACATTAATATTGTCATTAACGCAGATATTTATGCTTAACAGTTAATACTAATTATTGACAAAATCATCATCCGTTCATCAGTTATGGAAAAAAAAAAAAACTTCCAGAATTTTCATTTACTTCAGAAAGAAAATGATCATTCATGTCTGTTAGTAAAGTTACAGAAACTCCCTATTTTCCATCTTCTTCTGCTAAATAAATTGCATGTCCCTTCACTTACTCTACTCAAGTAATCTTCCCTACATAACAGATCCCACATTTCCTTGACCTAACAATCACACATTGTTTTTTTCCACATTTCCATTAGAACAAACACATCAACAACAATGGATCAGCTTCATTTTTACAAGCTCTTATTTTCGCTGCTTCTTTTGTGTTCTCTTCCAGTTATCATGTGCAGGGAACTGAAGAGTAATCCCAAGCCGAAATCTAGTCCCCTTTTTGAGAGGATGAAATTAGAGGGAAGAAGCAACACAAATTGCTGGAATTCACTGTTTGAGCTCCAATCTTGCACCGGCGAAATCGTTCTGTTTTTCCTCAATGGAGAGACATACCTTGGTCCCGGCTGCTGCAATGCAATAAGGACTATTCAGCATCAGTGTTGGCCTTCCATGCTTGGTTCTGTTGGGATTGATCAGGAAGAGAGTGATGTTCTTTTGGGCTACTGTGATGCAACCGATGGCGATGAGTCCGGGGACTCGGGTTCTCCTCCTCTGCCGCAGTCTCCTCCACAAATCCCAACTCCCATCGCTAACACCACCTCATTCCACGTTGTCAATCCCTGATTGCCAATAGATTGTAGTAATATGTGTTATGTATCCATTTTCAAGTTCTAGCCCTGTTCTTTGCAGCAACATTTCAACCTTTGTGTCAGATTTGTTGTAATGATGAAAACATCCTATAAGTCTTGAGTTATATTTGACTTCTTTTCGAAAATCGAAGGATCACTTGGAAACTTTTTTCCTCAGGATGCTGCTTAGTCAATCGGAGGCATTCCTCAAACCTGGAGATTTCTCAAGATAAAATTAAAGTAGAGTTCATTTATTTAGCAAAGACAGAATATCTACCAGAACAGTAAAATACTTGATTGTAGGTACTCCCTCCATTCCAAAATAAGTGTCATCTTACACTTTGCACATAGTTTAAGAAACTCTTAAATAGGGTAATAAAATTACTTGAATATCCTCAACCAACCCCATTACAAAATTGTCCACCAATAGCATCAAATCTTTTGATGGTAATTTTGGAAACTTTTGACAAAAAGTGCATTGAAATGAGAGAATGACACTTATTTTGGAATTTCTCCATTTTGCTAAAACGATACTTACTTTGGAATGGAGGGAGTAATTATTAAGAACTTAACATTTTTCCGTGCACCACATAAAGCCAAAATTGCAAAGCATCAGAATTTTGGATTTAAAGCAGGGCAATTGGTTCAAATATGCACATCCTTGACTTGGTGGAACATCAGCCCTTTTGCATACTGACACTTTCGAAGAAATTCTTGGTTCTTCCTCAAGCGAGTGAAGACTAACCACACAAGCAAGAAGCCATGATGGAATGCTACCACCGGACATGTTTAACTTGCTTGCCCACCCTGCTGACGCTTCCATAATCACGAAAAACTATCAGGATGGTCAAAAATGCAACCGCAGACAGTATCTTAGTCACAGGTTCGATCAAAGAATCCTGAAACAAGAAGAATCACGATAGTTAATTCATGTCCATGCTTTCACACAATAGATGAATTCAATCTTTCATCAACTCATGGGAAAACGAGAAGATTGTAATGTGTGTTAACATTAACACAATGAAGAGAGCTGGTTTACGTCCATAATTTCACAGTACACATGAATTGAATCATAGAAAACCAGAAGATTGTTTGGTGATTAACAACAAATCCAGACAGTACACAAACAAATAGTAACTATGTTAACTAAGGAACCACTACACTTCACCACACCACACCACTCCACTATACACAAATGACAAAAACAATTAAAAAAAAAAAGAAATTTTAAAATAACCAAAACTGACTATTTCTAGTTCCCTCTGCAGTAACAAATGTAAGGATATCAAGTTTTGAAATCCAGGACATATTACTCTGGACAACAACTAAGGTGCCACAATCAGAGCTACAAGTCAAAACAGGATATTAAAACAAGACATCGAAAGATAAGCTTGGCTGTCAACAATGAGCAAGTTTTCTCTTTTGCCCTGTGCTTTCTTCATGCTGGACAACAACAACCTATGTTGCAAAGTAACTGTATGATTTCTCAAAGTAAATCCATTAAAACATCCTAAATGCTGTTTGGTTGGAGAAGCGATAGAGATAACTTCCCTCTGTTGTACTTTATGCAGACAGTATGCCTTTGCTTAACTGATTTCACTGTCTTCCTCATTTCCCCAGTCCTATTCCATCAAAGAAGTAATCTATGTCTCTTAATTCGTGGTAAATCCTATCATCACAGTCCTAACAACACAATCCAGTATGTCAATGTGCGTTGTTTGGAACTAAATATTAAGCCTTTTTGAACTTCTTTACCTAAGGGTTCAATCTCTAAAATAATTTTAGCATCACAAAAGTGAGTCCTAGTTCCAGTAGACATTACAAAGCAATTTCTGCAATATAGAACATCTGAACAGGTAAAGATGCTTACTAGTGGATATGAGGTGGTCGTGTGTACTTCCTATTTTGCGATGTTAAAGACTTTTGTGAGGAGAATCCCAGAAGAATAAAAGATAAATTGATAATAAAAAAAAGAACAGAAAGAAAAACAAATATGTCTAAGTCTGAAAAAAAAAACTAAGTGATGGAATATCTTCCTCCGAAACTCATCAACCCCAGTACTAAGTTATCTAGCAACCTTCATTACAATCTCTGTCCGTCCATTTTCCCAAATTCACAAGCTTTTTGAAATCACACCGCTGCATTGAGTACCGATAAGGACTAACATTATTCATCTCTGTCAATTCAATCATAAGTGAAATCCATCATGCTAACCTGCGTATCAAGATAAACTGCTTTCTGGCAAATTATATGGAACCTTCCCTAATTTTATGATACAGTACTTTGGTACGAGCTACAATTAATTCTCACGACAGGAAACCATCCCAATGGACATAATAAAGTATCTGGTACCCTGCAGAGAGTCTTTCAACCTTTTTTCCTCTATCCGCAATCTATACCAGGTTCAAAAACTAATGTTGGGCTTCTGTTCCTAAGTTTAATTCACTCCTCAACCAATAAAATGATATGCCCACACTACCAAATAGTATAAGGTATCATTAAATTCTAAAGGAAGAGTTCTCTCAGCAACTCAACCATACCACAAAAAAAGTCCCTACCCCAGTTACAAATACTACAAATCAATGCACGGTTTCAGATCATTCCATAGTTCAATAGTAATGAATCAATCCATGATGACATCAAATTTACACCGTCCAAAACAATCCAAAATTTAATCAATAGAAAACAGTTAAAATTCGCATATTAAACAAAAGCAATCACAGCTGAATAAGCCCATGACTCATTCACAAATTTCAATCTTTTGCATAATCTTCAAACTACTGTACCTTTTGGTTGTCCGTCGGGGTAAAGACTCCACCTCCGCCGCCTTCATATGCACCGTCCGAGCAGTTTCCGGCGCAAAATTTGAGTCGGACGATAACGGATTTGTTTCATCGGGGTTTGTCGTCGGGGATTCTGCCATATCTTTTTGTTTCTTTCTCACGGGAAATCCCGCCGGAGGAACTATTTCAAGGAAGGTGCCGGCCGACTTAGAGTTGATACTGGACCCACTAAGTGTAATGTGGCAAAAGAGAGCTCAGTGTTTGGTCAGATTAGACTCGAGTTTGACCAATTAAATACACCTGAAAAAGAATACTGAGAAAGAATATAATTGAGATAATTTCTTCAACTAATATAATCATGAACTGTGGCTCCCTTTGTGGAAGAAATTTTGTTCTGATTTTGGCTATTTCAAATGTTATCTTATCAAGTGAAACACTCATGATTGTAATTAACCGTCAAATTTGCATGATCAGGGGCGGTGGGTGGTGTGGGCACAATTGGTAGTTCTAGGAAACTCCCCACCGCAAATATATGCTGGTGCAGAAGAATTTAGCAGTTTGACTTTGTATAATTGACTTGAGCATTTTTCTTGTTAGAGAGGGATCAAGATGCTAAAGTGCCTGAATGTAGAAAAGGGAAAGCATAAATTAACGTTAATGAAACCTCAAGAGAAATTATCACAATTCGGAAGTATGAATTACTCCAATTCTAAGATCATAGATGAGCTACTAGCTAGATTAACAATGTTTACAAGATTCATTAATTAGCTGTGGAAGCAACAAATACTACTTGGGAATGGTTTACATTTTTAAGTAGTTTGCTTCATTCACCAAAAAGTTTCTACATTAAAAACATGAATTTAGTACTCCCTCCCTCCGGTCCTTATTATAAGCGTGATTTGTCCTAAATTTTACTTAGTATATATATTTTTGATTGACCAAAAAAAATTCTTAAAAATATCTTTTTTTAATAATTAAGAGAATACAATGAATGAAAAAATATATTTTAATTAAAATTTTGTTTTTCAATCAAAAATACATATTAAATGAAACTTAAGACAAATCAAAATGACGACAGTAGGGAGTATAATATTATTCTTAGCTCTAAGGTTGCTATTTTCTCATTTGTTTCATTTTTACCGCAAGTTACCTTCTTTCTAAAAGAAACTTTTTTTTTAATGATCCCAACATATTTGAACTCTGATATCGAGCTCATGATTCTTCAGTCTATAGAAAAACTCACCCAACTACATGTTCAACATATTATATGAATAATGATTTGTGCAGAGTTTATACTTTTAATTTACTTTAACGGGCAAATTCATATAAAATTAGGGAACAATTAAGATTTACTTACGTCATTCTTTATATATTTTTTGTCAAATTTTTCTCTGTACGTATCACTATATTCATTTGATGTATAATTTCTCCAAATCTTTTTTCAATTAGGGCATTAGTTACAAAATTTTGAGATCGTTTCACATTTGTTTCAAAGCATCATCCATACTGTAGCACACTCTCATTAATTAGTTGATTAATAGTATTCAGTTTGTTCGAATGAAATGTTCTCTTACTTACAACGTAGTACTCCATACTGTAGCACTCTCATTAATGTTTTTTTTTTTTTACAAATTTGAAAACTCAACGTAGACTACTTTTTTTTTTGGGACGGAAGTAGTACATAGTATATTTCCGTTGTTTCGTTTTAATAATTCATTATCATGAATTAAAAACTTACAATGGGATAAGTAATTTAAACGAGATGAAGACAGTACTCATAACTAGACATTACAATGCATTATTATGCCTCCTATAATCATATTCTGACGACCTCAATATTACACCGATAAATACCTTTAGACTTTTACGGCAGCTAGCTTTATCCTTTTGCACTTCAGTGTCACTTTTTGAAAAGGTAGGATTTTCAAGGGAGATATATTTTATACATAAACAATTTATGGATTGTGAATTTGTGATAGTAGAACTTCAAGCTCATAGGTTCGGCGGATTATTTTGCATGGAAAAGTGAAGCTAAAAAATAAAAAATAAAATAAAACATTAAAGTGGAAAGTAGGAAATGGTGAAAGCATAAAGGTGGAGGACAACTGGATTCCCAAAGTGGAAAATCGGCGAAAAGCTTTTTATTTTTATATTTTTTTTGATTATAAAAAAGTCCGCTGAAAGATAATCCCTTTTCAATGGTCTTCTCAATTTGAATGTAAAGGATGTTTTGATTGAGAACAAAACTGGAGAATCCTATTGCTAAAAGTAATGTTCCCGTCGAATGTTAATGAAAGAACTAGGGCTATTTATTTGGCAAGATGTTTGGAACAAAAGAAACATGTCTCAGATTTAGGCTGTATATGGCCAATACTCTGTTAAGACGGGATCACGGAATCCAGTTGGGTTTTGGATCTTTCCGCTATTGAATCTTTTCCAGGCATTTTGAGTGTCTCCAGATCGGGATCATGGTCAAAACTACGGAATCATGGAAGAAGATTTTTGAACCTAAAAAATGCCTGGAAAGATTCGATGGAAGATTTGGAGAGCTTCAAACAATGCTCTTCCGTCCCTAAAGAATTAATATTTTACTTCGAAAAAATTATCAAAATATAAACATTTTTAAAGCCTTGTTTAATAAAACGCCAGTTGAGCGACACTGATTGGAACATGATATTATCGATGTTTCCTATTTATAAAATGTGGCGTTCTTCTATAACTAGGCCTTTAAGCCTCTTTCATGGTAAAATCTTGTTTAAAGTTTATATCAAACAACATTTTTAATCTATAACAAAAACAAAAATGCTGTCCGTAGGAATCCCTAGTGTTTCTAATATGCGATCTTTCCTCTATATATATGTACGGAAGTAGACTCATGTATACATAAATTGACCTCATTCATCAAATTACACCGATCAGATCATCATGTTCGACATCATAAAAATGTACTGTAGAGTTATATATATAGTCGGATGAGATGGGGTAAAACAGCTCTTTATACAATTAGTTGGTCCTCTAATCCGGTTTAGTACCTCATAAAAAACGTTTTCAATGCAGTTTCTTAACGTTTTATTATTATTATTAATATTGTTGTTATTGTTATTTTAATTAACAGCAATCTTCTCCCCAATCACGTGTGCTACATCTGAGGTTGATAACTTAATCAGATTGTTGTTGGTTGAAACGATAACTAATTAAAATGGAGATTAATAAAGGATCGGAACGAATTAGAGTTCTAAACTAATTAAGGCATAGGTTTATTGCTGGTCTTAACGCCCCTATAGTTAATGGAATCCGAGAAATTTTGAAAAGAGATTGGGTCATTTAGATAAAAGATGTATTTCGGGAGGTAAATTTGTAGTAATTTTTCATTAAACTTCGTACCTCACTTTTTGTAATAAAAAAAAATCTATTTGAGTGATTTACTCCAGTTACATGATACTATTTCGCTTGCGAGGGAAAACCTTAGAACCCCCCTATACGTTGCTGGGAAGCTTGTAGGGAAACGTCTTTGGAAAATGACGACTAATATTTTATATTGAAATATTATGTAGGCTTTTGTTTACCGACAGAGGCGGCGGAGGAAGAGGGGGGCCAGCCGGTGCGGCGCTCCCGTTTTCATTTTTTCAAGAAGTTATAAATTATTAAGTTGGAAAAAATTTAAAATGAAATTTTCACACTCTTTTTAAAATATTTTGAATGGTACAAGATAAAAAAAATATTTTGTAGTGAATATATCCCTTTTACCCTATTAAAGCAGAAGACATGAAGCTTATGTGGCAATTACGTATGCATCTGTTTTGGCTCCAATGCACCATATTTCAGATTTCAGGAGTATTTTTGCCATGTGTAAGTCTCTTTTAATTAGAAGCTATATAATTCTTTTTTTAAAAAAAACACATGTTTTAGATGTGACACTTATCTAATGAAAAAATTCTACAAATAAGAATCAGTTACATTTCAAACGAATGGATATATTAATTCAAATTCAAATGTCCAATCGTACAGTTTTGCAGGCTTAATATAAATAAAAAAAAATAAATAAATCCAGTAATTAAGAATAATGCATTATAAACTAATTATTTATTATTTCCTTATAACCTCAGATTTATAGGTATATTTTTTTAAGCCCCAAACCATAGCATAAATGATATATACGCCAAATTAATTCCTCAAAAAATAGTAATTCAATTAGATTTTAATAAAATAGTAATTTAGAAGGAGCGCCCGGGCATCTGCCTGGCCAAACATCTAGTTGTATTTATGTTAGACCGTATCTCTTTTGTCAATACTAAGTTACCCAAAAAAAGGTTGCCAAAAACTATACTTTTTCTTTTTTACTGGTTTGATTTTTAAATAACTAGGAAGAAGATGATAGTTACTATTTTTGAATTTGGTCTTCTATTGGAAAAGATTGATTAAAAAAAATGGTGATTAACTTAAGTTTAAAACCAATAAAAAACTTACATAATTGTATCTCCATTTACATAGTTTTATAACTTGGTCCAACTTTCTTTTTATACGTTTGCCCGTTGACTGTTTAATTCGTGGTTCGATCAGTGCTTGAAAAAATTAATTTGTCAAATTTAAAATTTCATCCTACGCGTCTCATTGATGACTAAATAAATGTGTATTCACAGATATATTTTCTTTCTTCTAAAAACATATGATTGAAATCGAACACTAGGAATTGATATAAAATATAGTAAATTTTAGTACCATTTTAATTGTATGATAGTTGCAAAAGGTGCATAAAATATTAACAAAACGTAATTAATTAAATTGGTATAGGTTTTTTCAATGAGGAAAAAATGATATCTTAATAATTTCTAATACTTAATATTTTATTAGTATTTAATACACTTGTTTCGATAATTTTGTTTCGCACTCCTTATGATGAAATTTTAGCTCCACCACTATTTACATGAGGGCTTGAATTCCTCTTTTCCCATTTTTGTTGATGACTTGCCTAACAATGGGAAATCTATAACAATATGTAAGGATATGTCACCTTCCACACTTAATTCCTTGACGCAAAACCCAAAATAACCTACTTAGACCACATTTCCAAGTCCTTTCCTAAGTTCTCTTCTTTTAATTAGACTTCTTCACATTTCCATCTCTCTCACTCCATCATGTTCAACTCCACTTTCCCACCACCACCACCACCATCACAAGGGCAAGCCGCTGCTGTTCATGATAATGGAGGCGGCGCCATCCCAAACGCTTGCCCTACCGTTGATTGCAACTTGATATACCAATACTTTAAGTATCATCTTGACTTGGAGGATGTGGATCAGTCGCCAAAGATCACAAAGACTAGTACTATGATGTTTGAAGGATATCATTCCAGTAATTCTAGCTTCACTTCTACTACTAATATTACTACACCGTTTGTGTCGTCATCTCAAATGATCAGCAGTGGAAGTTCATCGGCTGGATCCTTCGATGGTGTGGCGCCGATGGATCAGCAAGATGATTTGCAGCTTGATGATGAGTTAGTGAAAAACTTTGGAAAGAATAATGGGTTCATTTTGTATTTAATTAATCTCATGATTATAACTTTGATACTTTGTAAAATGGTTTTGTTGTGTGAATGATTTTTTTGCTTAACTTGATGTTTTGTTTTCTCAAGATGCAAGAAGGATGAGAAGAAAGCGAAGGTTGGAGGACAAGTGATTGCACTTCGAACACAAACAGAACTGGAGACCTTGGATGATGGGTTCAAATGGAGGAAGTATGGGAAGAAAATGGTGAAGAGTAACCCTAATCCCAGGTCAGATTTCTTTATCAAGATCCACAAGCATGATGTAAATATTTATCAATACTTTGCATCCTCCTATATATCATGAACAGACAGCTAACCCTATAATCATATGCAACGATTCCTGATCCAGCTTCTTAAGTTCTTGTAAGAAGATACTAGCACTATCCGAATTTTTGCCCTTTGCCTTAGTATCTATCTATCTATCTAGTTTCTTGTTTTGCTTTTGTTTTAGTTTGATTTTTTTTTCCCGTCTTTGGAATGGAAATGGAATTCGGAAGGAAGTAGCTAAAGCATCCATTTGCATACAAGTTGAGCTTTAATTCCATTAATTGTACTTCTTTTATCGGTGATAGATAAATGATCTGATATTATGGAGATATTGTAGGTATTGGGGGGTTTTTTTTTGATACTTTATGTTCCCCTTTTATTATTTTCTTTGTTCCCCAAGTTTGAGTCAACAACGTGTAATTGTATTTTGTATGTGTTTGGTGTTTCCAGTCCTCAAGATTGACTGGAAAAGCCTCATTTCGTTTAACAATCACACATACAGCAGAGATAATCAAATCCATGAATGGGAAACAGCTTTTTTTATTGTTGTTTTATGTTATGAATTGAGCTTCATTTATAGTATTTCTTCTATTTCAAAATAATTATATTATTTTTTATATTATTTAAATCTAAAATGATTAATTGTTCTAAAATAATTATATAGTATGACAATTAATTTGGATAAAAAGAGTACATCATTTTTTTTTTGGGTGTTTTTTCGTACTCCATCTGTCTTAGAAAAAAATAATTATATATTGTATTTTTTTCAACATAATAGACTTTTTTTTTTGAAACAAAGAGAGTGTAATTATAAAGTTAAACTTTGAACACAGTTTACAAAAACCCTAAGAATTTTGTTAAGACTTCAAGCTTCAAATAAGATTTGACCACGTATATTCATGCATGTAAAGTAATAGAAATAGATGGACATTTCACCATTTTGGCATGCAGTTCTTGCACATCACGGATAATTTCATACATCCCTTACATCTATATATACAAATAAACCGCTGAGGCCTAATCTCCATTATTATGATTCATATCTTTCTCATAATATATATATACATTTCCGATATGTTTATATTGGCTCGCCCTGTAATGAAGAAATAGTATTCGTCAATTATAATTATTCTGTACAACATAATTTAAGATAAAAAAAAAAAGTATTTTTACCCCTTTCATATACGTATCTGAGTGTATCGTCATAGACGCATACCATGTCTTTCCTTGCTCATAATCCCATTGGATTATTGTTAATTTCCTCACTATTTTTTTTTTTGAGAAACAGATATTTATTTGATCGTTTATTATGTTTTGTATAAATTTTAAACACTCACCAGATACCGCTCTAGATTTAACTAAAAAATTGTTTTATGCGTGTCAAATGATGAAATGACATTTACCTCATTAAGTTGCTTCTCATCGATGGGATCATCATATGTAAAACAGGCATTACTATAAATGCTTGATTGAAGGATGCAAAGTGAAGAAAAGAGTAGAAAGAGATGGAGAAGATTCAAGCTATTTGATCACAACCTATTTTGGGAAGCACAATCATGAAAGCTCTGGCGCTGGTTACTGTGATCGATCGCCTTTCATCCTCGTGCTCCGCCCATCTCAATCTACCTAAATTCAACCCGATCTAATCCCTTCATGCTTGTAATAACTGTGTGTATCTCCATTCCTGCTTTAATCGTCTAAACTTACTAATATGTCTAGTCAAGTGCAATCAAATTACCAAGACAAAAGTACAAGTCGTTGGATTCTATTGTCCTATGTTGTAACAATAGCCTAATATTTCTTCTGTGCTAGAATTATCATAATGTAATTTTATAAGTGCATAAGTACCTTCTCACGTGCAAAAAGAAAATTGAGACATTTAAGTGGGGAAAAAAAAAGGCTAATGTGGTCATAATTCGTCGAACTTAACATTCATAAATATACTAGTGGAACCCGAACCTTTTTGCACGTGTTTGGAGTAATTAATCATTAAACTTGATAAAACCATTAAAATATATGCGAGACGTAATGATATAAAATAAAATATTTAAATGCGATAGAGAGGTGATACAATATATGCATATATATATATATATAAAATAAACAAAAATTCTTTGAAGCAAATCTAACATTTACACAGAATGTTGATCATACTTTAAAATTTACATATATAATTAATGAAAATTGACACATGAATAGTTTTCATCGCATCGAACAACCTATTTTTTTCAACTTCCAAGGTCAACTAGTTACTTTGGAAAGTAAGGAAATTTTGTTTCCACCACGAAAATCAATGGGAAGAAACAATGCAGTAAAACAACTTTTGTTCTAAAAAAGAAATTATAGAAAAAAGGGAAAAAATTACCTTAAACTCTATATGATTAAAAGATCAAAATGATTCAAGAAGAAACAAACACATGAACAACAGAATGGCATTGCATTTTTTGTGATCTAACACTATAACTATCAAGACTTCAAATTCGAGTATTTACAAATTTTTCATTTTCAGTCATCTATTGTCGAGAGAATAAATTCAAATACAAAAACAACAGTTAAACCGGATAGGAAAGGGAGAGACCACATCAAGCAAGAGAAAAGGACGAAAGAGAGAAGATGGAGAAATGAAAAGAACATGTATAGCTAAATAATGACAGGATAATGAAAGATTTACTATTTTATCACATGATTAATGATTATAATCAATTTATAAATGAATGGACTTTGTATAATTGTATTAAGATTGATGGCATCTATATACGAAGAGGAAGATGAAAACTTTGAAACAGATGAATGCAACATTTAGACATAAGTGTTTACTTTCATTATTAACTTTCAGCAAGGTAAAACAGATGAAGCATTACTTTTTTTTAAAAAAAATAAAATAAAATTCAAACTGAATATTTATTTTGAGATTGCGAGAATATATAGTTTGACGGGGATATAAAACAGTGAACTTGTGCTTCTTTCGTTCCAAACTGTTATCATTATTTTATGATATCATAACATACAAGACAAATTATTTGGGGGAACAAATCATCTAGAATCATATATACATACACAAAACTCACAAGTTTTTTGCTTAGCATGTGATGAAACTACGATCAGCTGTAGGCTGTCATTAATTATGTTAAAATTTTTTACCTACAATATGAACAGTTGTGAACGTGTTCTTGAATCTTGAATCTTGATACCTAGTACTTAGACAGTAAGTAAGGTTAAGTTGAAGGGTTTGCACTTTTTCTTTACCCAGGTCATTTTCAGTCTTTCGTCTACAGACTAGGAATAAACAAATTTATAATTTGATTTTATCTAAGAAAAGTCTATTTGTCGGTTAAAAGGAGATTTAATTTTGTTTGTTTGTGTGACTAAGTAATCCAGAACAAAACAATTGCCATTGCCATTAATAATAAAACTACTAAAAGTGACTTTTATTGGACTTTTCTTTTTTCTTAAGTAAAACTAGAGATGATTAATCATCAACCACGTACCATTCTTTCATTTGTAACAATTTGTTGAAGCATCGACGAAGGCACCTCGACGGAGAGTTTTATAACTCTAAAGAAAAAGTATCTTAGAATCTAAATTTGTCAAGATTATGAATTTAGATAATGCGATATAATATATACATTAAAAAAAGTTAAATTTATTCCAAAATTTAGAGCGTGTGGCACTAAAAATAAAGCGGCGATAGATCCTGTGCAAAAAACGGCTTCTTTTGACTGATCAAATTAATTAATTTCCTAGCACAAGTAATGGGGGAAAAAATTCTCGTAATAGTTACGGCGTTTAATGGGAACTTTTAATTTTCTTCGACCTGAAATTGGAAATTTGGAAAATTACCCTGTTGCAAAACTGGTTTGTTTTGACTGACGAAATTAATTTCCTAGCATTAGCACAAGTTATTGGGGAAAATTTCTAGTAACAGTTATGGGTTTTAATCGATTAATTGGACCTGATTCGAAATATTGAAAATTCATAGCTAGCCACCCCATTATAAACTTAAAGTTGAAATTGAATATTATTCCCACATTAGAAAGTAGATTAAAAGTGATTTTTTTTAAGATCATCAAGGCTTTTCATCCTCCCACTCTCGTTCTCGTTTTGTGATTTGCTTTTCGTTTTCTCTATCATTTATTTTCTCTTGTATTTCTTCCGTCCTAAAATAAAAATTTGGTTCACGTAAACAATCAGAAGTCTAATTTTGTAAATAAAAAAAATCCATTTCTGTTATACAAAGCTAATTTCTTCAAAATAAAGCTTCTTTTTTTTTGCATGATGGACAACAACAACTTACGTGCATGGTGTAGAAGTTCTTTTAAAGTTGATCCATCCCTTCATCCTAAATACTGTTTGGTTGGAAAAGAAACAGAAATAAAATCCTCCATATTGTAGTTTTGGCAGAGACACTAAACCTAATTCACATTCTATCTTCCTCATCATTTCACCCCTTCCCTTCCAAGAAAAGAAGTAAATTTATGTCTCATTAATTCGTTGTAAGTCCGAACAAAATAATCTATATAATTGGTTTTCTGAAACTCGGCTAATTCTGTTGTAATGTACCAATAGCTTATCCAGTTCAATGTGTGATGTGATACCTACTTCTGTAGAAATTTTTGTAGAACAACATGAACTCGGGATTGTCGACCTCGATGTTTCGCCTGAATATCTTATCTTGGTCATGATTGAGAAGATCTTTGTTCTTACTCGAGGTCGAGGGCTTTCAATGTTCATGTGTAAGGGCTAAAGCTACATCTGACTAGTTAAGGGTTTCAGGCGATCGACAACTTTCAGATATGATGGCTTACCCGAGTATATATCTGCTAATTCATTAGAGAGATATACAAATAACTGTTTTATGAAAGGGAAGCACAAAAATTCTATCTTTAATTTTTTTTAAAAAAGATGGTTGTGAGAATTCCAATATTACACTGATAAAAATTGCCTTTTGGACTTTGACGGCAGCTAGCTTCTATCAATGCTTCATCCATTTTGCACGACAATGAAATATATATATTTTTTAATATAATACAACCTCTTTCTATATATATCTACGGGCGCAGACTTCTGTGAACTAAGATACTTACCTTACTCAATTATCATTTTTGACTCACATCATCAAATCATCAAGTTCGACATCATCAAATGATACAGTAGAATTATGTGATCGGATGACATAGGGTAATTAGTAGCTCTTTATCCACACTTAGTTGATTAATTCACTAATGCATCCGGTGCAGTATCTCATAGGGAAACATCTTCAAATCAGATTTTCACTTTTATCATTATTACTCATTCTGTCTCAAAATTATTGTCACATTTCATTTTTAACATAGTTTAAACTAATTAAAACTGAAAATAATTTCGGGACGGAGGGATTATTATTATTATTATTATTATTATTATTATTATTATTATTATTATTATTATTATTATTATTATTATTATTATTATTATTATTATTATTATTATTTCAGTTAACAACAATCTACTTACCAATCACGTAAGCTACATCTGAGTTTGATTATGTAATCAGATTGCCATTGGTTGAAACGCTAGCTAAGGTAAAGTTTTGATCAGAAATCAATAAAGGATCGGAACAAATCAATATTATTTCATATATTTAAAATAAAATTTGTAATTGAGAATTGCCGCTCAATAGGATAATTATAATTAATTTTGACATGTATCAACTATCAACACAAGAAATCATTAAGTGAGAAAAAAATATTGTAAATTGGGTAATTATAGTTTTATTTAAACCTTACATCTATCCCAATATTTTTTACTACAAAATTATTGTCCACGGGTTTATCTTAGTTCAATAATTTGTTAACAGAGAGAGTATTATCTTTTGGTTAGTCCTTCCTTATGCATTAATTAACTTTGATTTTCTAGCTATCTTTTCTTATGCATTAACTTTGATGTTATCTTTTTGATGCATGAAGTTTGGGTGTTTAATTTTTTTTTTTTAAAAAGAATAAAATTTGGTCAAGAAAATAAAAAAAGACTTAATTAGAAGTTCTAATTTGGAAGTTCTTAATTACAAAAATAATTATTAGTTGAATTTGATAAGTCATATGACAGTTTTAAGTTTCAACAATTCTTAACATTTTTAATTTTTCATTGTCTTTTCTTCTTCTCTTTTTTAATTTAATGATCATATGAATGAAACATTGAGAAATAATTTTGTAACTAAAAAAGAATATTGAGAGTTTGGTATTCTCAATAGATTTGGTCGATATATAATTACCAACAGTGAAAATTTAGCCATTCCCTCTTCTTCTTACACCCCGAGCTTGTTTGCTATCTATACATTGTGATCTCTCTACCCCAAATTCGGTAACTAATTATTAGTTCATCATCCTCTTTTTATTCTGAAATTTAACTTTCATCCATTTTCTAAAAATTGACGCCAGAAACCTTTACAAAGACATGATATTGTAGTTTTCATCTTTGATACATTTTTTTCATTTGAGTTGGTTTCGTTGCTATTTTCTTTTAGTTGTCATGAAGAAATTAATTGAGTATGTTGGTGTATTCTTTTTTTTTTTTCAGCTTTTATTTGTAGAAATATTATTTATATGGACACTAAATTTACCAAGAATTTTGTTTATCATTGATAAATTTGTTGAAATTTTATTTATTTGTTTATTTTAGAAAGTGTAATGAACAATTAAGGGATTCTCAAAACTTTTAATATAAAAAATTTGTATTTTTACTTTTCATATAATTTATATCATGTCAAATTTACGATCGCGCGAAGCGCGTCTACTCCTCTAGTAATTAATAACTTCCAATTCTCATGCAAACTCTTAACGCGACCAAATATATACTCCATCCGTCCCATAATTATTGCCCATTTTGTCCAAAAAATTTTGTCCCAAAATTATTGTCCAATTTGACTTTTTATGGATCAAGTTACACATTTGTCCTTAGTAAAAAACATTATCCATAAAATATTTATTGTTAAATAATTACTTATGTAGGGGTATATCCGGTTGTTTAAGGTAAAATATAATTAAGTTTGACTAAAAATAAAATCTTTTATTTTAGTAAAATTAGACAATAATTATGGGACGGAGGGATTATTACATTAAAAAGAAAAGAAATGATACCTTATAGTTCTCTTAGCTCTGAGTTTTGTAGAGCATCTCTATAGAAGTAGCATGTTATTTAGTATTTGTTCTTTTTTTGTTTCTTGATGTTGTAACCTCTGCAATTTTGTATAGCTGAGAGTAGGGAACCAGAAAGTAGTGGTACTTTCACTTTGGCGATCATTCATATATATATATAAATATATATATATATATATACCTTTTTCACAAAAAAAAATGATACCTCATAATTTTTCTTTGTAATTTATCATAATCTTCTTCATCACATTTAAAATCGCAGTAGCAAATCACAGTAGCAATGATAGCTTTTGTCTAATATGCACGAAGAAAAGAAAGCAGATATTCGTACATTTTTACCGATAATTTATTATGTAGTAGTTGCTTTAACAAATATAATTTCATAAAGGTTTTTTTAAGAAAGACAAAAGGAAAACCAGCTAAAATATGTATAAATATGTGTTATTTTCAGGAAAACTAACCAAACATATTATCAAAGAGTTATTGTATAATTATGACCCGGAATTAAATCCGGTCATAGACATATAGCAGTAATTAAAATGCTTGTTAGAAGAGTTTTATTCGCTAAAACGGACCTACCCGACTCGAATTCAGATTAGTTAGAACAATGATTTCGGACTCTGTATATATACATAATATACCAGTAAAAAGAGTTGTTATGTAAAATATTATTTTGTTTCATTTTATTTTTTTTTATTTTACTAGAACGGTATTTTGTGGGGATGACACCACCCGAATATATAATGTTGTATAGAACTTTATATATCCTTATATTTCTTTTCTTTTGATCCCACTAAACTTCTCTCTGTGAGTTTAGTAAATATATTTGGAAAAAATTATGGATGTGCATTGTTATGCTGTCACTTAATTTATTATCAATTATAAATTCTCAAATTCAACTATCAGTACAATAGAGACTAAAATTTTGCATTTTCGTACTAATATTTTACCCTTTAAAATCTAGAATTACTTGAATACAGAACATGAAATATATATATATATATATATAATGAATTTAACTCCAACAATACAACAGAAACAAGAATTAGTAAATCACAAAAAAACGACACAAATTTTATGGTATTACTCCCTCCGTTCCACAAAAATAGTCCAGTTTAATAAAAAGTTTGTCTCCAAAAAAATAGTCCAGTAGTGAAAATTAATTGAATTGAAATGACTTAAATATCCAAAAGAGTAGTGGTAAGAAAAACAAGGTCCACTTCCTTTTATTTTCATTTTTTTTAGTTTTCTCCCATTTTTCAAATGATTATATCTTTTAATACATGAATAATTAAAAAATGTGTTACATATCAAATGAATCTAAGTAACGAGATGTTTCCATCAAGATCCATTGTCAATATTTTTTTTTTGAGATAAAAATTTTGATCAAATTTAAGTTGTAAAATAAATGCATATGTAGTTAACATTTATAGAAATAACTAGAAGGGGCATTATTAGAAATTAGGGGTATAAAATGAGTTGTACATTTGGTGCGTTGACCAAAATAAAAAAATTGTACATTTTCAAACTGGATTATTTTTCTAGGACGAAGGGAGTATAACCATAATGTTATGCTCACATGTAAGAATTTTTTTTGCAATTTTACATGGTATATGTAACACCAATAGGTGCAATGTATAAGCATAATAGTTAGAGTACTAAATTAATTACGGAGTTATTCAAGTGATTAATAATTGAGTAACGATATTTCACTCTACTAATTTAACTCTATTAATAATTCTACTTACATCGCAATTTAGTTGATTTATCCAAATCACTATACAAATTAATAATAATATTTAATTGGAAGCTTAATTCCAAAGGGCTTACCTTGATGCTATAACTTATTGATTGGCCGTTTGATTGTGTCGTCAAATACGCAATTTCTTCACTAGCTCGATTATTTTTGATTGGCACTTCACTATTGGGAATTAAATTCATACTTCAAAATTATTTCTTTCTGTGCCAAACAATCCGAAGAAGATTGAAACTGGAGAACACGGACCCTTCTTTGGCACTAAAAAACCAAACCAAGAAAAAGAATTACCAAATTTTGCAGAACCATGAAATTAGCCAAAATTTGGTAGATCTCTCGAGTTTCCTAGAACCTCAAACAATTGGGGCGGCGCCGCAGAAACCAGTGACCAGCATAAAGATTGGCCCTTTAGAACTACAGGTAGATTGGCCTTTTAGAACAACAGGAGCTGGTCGTCGCCGGGAAGAACGAGAAGGCAAGGGAAAAAAAAAACATAAATGATAAAAACTGGTTTCTATTTTATAATTAAATACTCCCTCCATTCCAAAATATATGTCGCTGGAGAAGTTTCACAAAGTTTAGGAGACAATAAATATTTGGTTAAAAACTAAATTACCCTCATTTATTCTCAATACAATTCTATTTCTAATATCATTTAGTTCTAATACACTTCTATTTTAAATACAATTATAATTTCCCATGTAAGGGTAATATTGAAAGAAAATGACAAAATATACCTAAATATGCGAAAACTACATGTATTTTGAAAAAAATTAAATTTCCTCTAATGACATATATTTTGGAATGGAGAGAGTATTACTATAAATTTTGTATGATGATATGGATAAGCCAATTAGATTGTCATGTAATTAGAGTTATTTGATAGAGTTAAATTAGTAAAGTGAAATATCATTACCCTTAATAATTAACTCCATTTACTAGTTATTTCACTGGCCAAAGGAAACCACAGAAGACCCCGACCCCATGTTGTTGCCTGGAAGCTGGTTAGGAAGCATATATGGAAAATGACAACTAACTTATTATATAGAATTACTGTGTATATATAGATATGATCACCTCCGCACTTAATTCATTGAAGCAAAAACAAAAATAACCTACCTAGATTACATTTCCAAGTCCTTTCCTTAGTCCTTTTCTTTTAAGTCTTCTCACAGTTGTATCTCTCCACCATCATGTTCAACTCCACTTTCCCATTACCACCACTGCCACCACCACAAGGGCAAGCCATTGTTGTTCCTGATAATGGCGGCAGCGCCTTTTGAAACGCTTACCCTTCCATTGATTATAACTCGATGTACCAATACTTAAATTATCATCTTGAGTTGGATGATGGGGATCAGCCGCCAATTATCACAAATACTAGTACTTGGATGCTTGAAGAATATTATTCAAATCATTCTAGCTTCACTTCTACTACTAATACTAATACACCGTTTGTGTCATCATCTCAAATGATCAGCAATGGAGGATCCTTCGATGGCGTGCCAATGGATCAGCATGATGATAATTTCATGCAGCTTGATGATAAGTTAGTGAAAAACTTTGGAAATGTTTGGAAAGAATAATGGGTTTATTTTGTATCTAATTAATCTCATGATTATAAAAAAAAACTTTGATCCTTTGTAAAATGGTCTTGTTGTGTGAATGACGTTTTTGCTTAACTTGATGTTTTTGTTTTCTCAAGATGCAAGAAGGATGAGAAGAAAGCTAAGGTTAAAGGACAAGTTATTGCACTTCGAACACGAACAGAACTGGAGACTTTGGATGATGGGTTCAAATGGAGGAAGTATGGGAAGAAAATGGTGAAGAGTAACCCTAATCCTAGGTAAAAATTTCTTTATCAAAATGCACCAGCATGATTTTTTTCTTCTTCTTCTTCTTCTTTTTTTTTTTTCTCTATCAATACTTGCATCCTCCTATGTACAATGAACATACAGCTAACCCTATAATTAATCCCATGCAATAATTCCTGATCCATTTTGTTTAGTTCTTACTAAATAATAGCTCCATCGAAACAAAATTCTTGATTCTAATAGTAAACAATAATCTTTGTTCTAAAATGATTGTCTTACTTGTTCCTGTATTTTTGAAAAATTAAGTTTTTGTTTCACAAACAAACCATCATATAGAACATCATGGATCAATCTTTAAGTCACTTTCATATATATATATATATATATATATATATATATATATCTGAATTTTTTTTTGTGTCGTTTTAGTGGCTCTTTACCTTGGTACCTATCTAATCTATCTTTGCTTCTTCTTTTATTTTTTATTTTCTTTGGATGGAAATGGAATTCACAAAGAGGTAGCTAAAGCATCCGTTTGTATGCATACGCTAAATTTGAGCTTTAATTCCATTAATAATGCTTCTTCTATGTGTGATATATATAAAGTTGAATGTTGTGGAGATGTTGTAGATATTAGGGTTTATTTTTGATACTGTATGTTCCCCCGTTTTCTATTTTCTATTGTTCTCAAATTTGAGTCAAGTAACCGCGTGGGATTGAATCTTGTATGTTCAGAATTTCCGGTCCACAAGATTGAGTTGGGTCAATACTCAAAAAGGCTCATTTCGCTATCATATATATAGCAAAATTAATCAAAGCCACATGAATGGGAAACAGCTTGTTTTGCCTCTTGTTTTGTGCTTTGTATTGGGCTTTCTTTATTGGATTTCTTCTACCCAAAAATAAGTATCATGTTAGTTGTATCATTAAAGTCTAAAATAGTTGTTCCAAGATAATCATACAATATAAATTAAACATGACAATTAATTTAGAACAGAGAAAATATATCTTTTTGTGATTTTAATACTAAGCCTATTTTAAAATAATATATTTGTAAAATATATTACTGTAAATAACGCGTAGAAATTTTAAGATTAAACTCAAACGTCCACACAAACACTAAGATTTTTGTTTAGAATCTAGCTTGGAATGAGATTTGAACACATATATTCATGCATGTAACGTAATGGAAATGGGTTGGCATTTCACCATTAATTTTCGCATGCAGTTCTTGAACATCATAGATAACGTCGTACATAAGCTACATCTATATTTAAATACACCACAGAGGATAAACCTAATCTCCCCATTATGATTCATATCTTTCTCATAAGATTTGTATTTTTCCGTACAACAAACATGATTTTAATTTTGTGACAAAAAAATTAATTTTTAACCCTTTTTCAGATATGTATCTGAGACTACGACCACAAGAGCACATACCAGTGGCGGATTTACAATGGGGGTAGAATTTAAAAAATCGCAAAAATAGTATATAGTTTTTAAAAGTTTTAAAATTAATTCACGTATTTTTTAATCAAATCTCCTTAGATATTTTATATTTTGTTAGTCACATAAATTTTTTATCATTTTAAGTTATTATGTGTCATTTGTAGTTTAAAACTAGAATATCAATACTAACAATTATATTTATCTATTTGATCATGATATGTTATTTTAATTTGTGCATAAATATATAACTGACATTAAGTGATATACAATTCACATTCAAAGCACGTGAAAAACATGTGCAAATTACGTGTATATATATACTTATAAAGTTAAGGAAAAATTAATTGAATGATATATATTCATCTTAAGCCCCTACTAAAAAATATTTTTGGCTCCGCCATTGGCACACACGATACTTTTCCTTGCACATTAACCCATAATTGTATTTTGGATTATTGTTAATTTCCTCACTGATTCCCCCCTTTTTCTTTTTTTGCACAAACACACATGCATGATCCTCTATTTTTATGTTTTGTGAGTGTAAAATGGACTAATTCACCTCATTACTTCTGATCAATGGGATCATCACATGTAAAATAGGCATTACTATAAATGCTTAATTGAAGGATGCAACGTCAAGAAAAGAGTAGAAAGAGATGGAGAAGATTCAAGCTATCTGATAACTACCTATTTTGGGAAGCACAACCATGAAAGCTCCGGCGCTGTTTACTGTGATCGATCGCCTTTCGTCCTCATGCTCCGGCCATCTCAATCTACCTAATTAACTTGACCATATATAATTCATTCGTGTTAATCACGTGCGCACGTAGTTTGTTAACTGTGTGTATCTTCAAATGGTCGATAGTTCCATTCTTGATAGCTAGGGCCATTCAAATATTTTTCTTTTCTTTTTTCTTTCTTTTTTCAATAAAAACGGTGTGCATCTATCTCCATTCGTGCTTTAATCGCGTAAAGAAAGTTTCAACTTGATACTCAAGTTTTCATTATCTACCAAGACAAAAGTAAGTCTTTTTTTCTTCTGCTCAAGTGACACACCAGTTAAACTCATTGTATTCTAATATGATCGTCTGGCGATGTAATGCTGCTAAAGTTTACAAATGATATACTCTCTATGCATTAGCAAAATCGTTCTAATCGCGCTATAAAATTTATACTAAAAACAATACTCATTCCGTCCTGAAATGATTGTCCAGGTTAAGTTTTTATTTTTAGCTTAAGTTTGTACTAAAGTCAAAATCCAAATAAGACAACTACATTGATACGGAAAGAGTACAAATTTCTAAAATTAATATTGACATTTTCTTTTTTCTGCTGTGATATACACTAAGGTTAATTTCCGCTTGAACCCAAACATACTTTCTCTAGAGCAGAAAGAAAAATGAGATATTTATAAGTGAAAGAAACTAACGAAAAAGACTACCGTGGTCATAATTCTGCAAACCTTGACATTCCTAACAAACGTGGTTATACATCTGTGAACTTGGATTAACAAAAGTTTGACAAATGCTTAGTTAATGCTTCTTTCGTTCTAAACTGATTATCCTTTGTTTATGATGCTATGATATCACGCATTGTACAAGATAATTTATTTTGATGGAAAAAAGTATAGCATAAAATCATACATGCAAGTTTTTGGTTTCGCATGTGAAGAAATTACGAGCAGCACCCCTGTAGACTTTGTAATTTATTTTGTTAAAATATCCCGAAATATGAACAGTTATGAACGTGTTCATGAATCTTGATACCTAGTACGGACTATACTATTGAGTAAACGGTGAACAGCTAGCACCTTTTCTTTACCTATTTCATTTTCAGTCTTTCTTCTAGACACTTGGAAGAAGCAAATTTACTTTGTTTAACCTTAATTTTATGTAAGAACATTCTATTTGTCGGTCTAAAAGAGACTTGATTTTTGTTGGTTTGAGTGACTAACTATAGCTATTAGCTAATCCAGACGAAAGCAATTAGTATATATAAACAAACTACTAAAAGTTACGACTTCTTTTTGGACTTTTCCTTTTTTTTTTCTTTTTAAAAAAAAAAACTCGGTATGATAAATCATCAATCCAATCCCATCCCATTCTTTTACTACAAATCTATAGTACTTAATTAAAACAGCAAACAAAAAGAACATGTGTCAGCACTAGAATGAAAATTTTCCCGCCAAAAGCCATTTTCAGTACAAAATCATTTTTGACAAGTGACACTCTAACTAATCAGAAACAAGATGGAATAAATAAATACATAAATCCCTTAATTATAGCTGCATAAAAATCTCTTAATTATAGGTATATACTCCCTCCTTCCCATAATTATTGTCCACTTTGCCCAAAAAATTTTGTCCCAAAATTATTGTCCAATTTGACTTTTTATGGATCAAGTTACACATTTGTCCTTAGTAAAAAACATTATCCATAAAATCTTAGTGGTTAAACAATTACTTATGTAGGGGTATATCCGGTTATTTAAGGTAAAATATAGTTAAGTTTGACCGAAAATAAAATCTTTTATTTTAGTAAAACTAGACAATAATTATGGGACGAGGGAGTACTAATCTTTTAAAACAAAAATATTTAATTAATAAAATCAAATGTAAGGAAATCCCCTTAAATCAAGTGAAACACAATAATGCCTTCTCAATCCCCAATTTCAAAGAATCTCTTCCATTACGCTCCTCTCTCATACCCGGGCCTTTAAATCAATTACCTAAAATCTGACATCAATTATCAATCCATCTCTTTCTATAACAGAGAAAAAATAAGCTGTCATGAAAGAAATTTGATTTTTAAAGGATGATTTTTTTTATTCTTCTGTTGTAGATATTGGTTTATGATTTATATAAACCCGGCCATAAGTTAACTGTTGTAAATTAAATGTTATAAATCTAGGCGTAGATTTATGTATAATAACTCACTTTCTGTCCTTTCAAACGATTTTTTATTCTTCTATTTGTTTTTATTCTTTTAAGAATGATTCGTATTTTTTATTTAATCGATTTAAAAATACAGGCGGCACTCTAGGCATTCGCCCGGGGCAAGCATCTAGTATAATTTGTTGAAGCAGTGATGAAAGCACCTCGTTGGAGAGTTTTGTAACTCTAAAAAAATCTCTAGAATTTGAATTTATTAAGATAATGATTTTAAATAACATTTGTACAATCCATTTCTAATATAGAGTAAGAAAGGGAATTCTAAACAGTCGTCACCCTCAAGTTTTTCTTTTCAAAGTTATAAATTGTACTGGATTATTATTTTTTTAAATAAAGACAAGTATTATTATATTGACTTTTTAATGACTTTGACTTGTGGCAATTACCAAAGTCAAACACAGTTTCCTTTTTGTTCCACTCAAGTTATAAATTGCAGTAGATTACTTTTTGATAAAATAAAATAAATAAACACGTACATTTCTTTTCTTTTTTTGGTATAAAGGTAAACATATTGATATGAAAATTAGTTCAATAGCAACATTCCATCTGTACATTAACCTCAAAATAAACAGGTATCATTATATTGTGTGTTTTTTTTTAACGATTTGGACACGTGACAATATCAAAGTAAAACAAATTTATTTAGACCGACTCATATCTTGGTGCGTAATAGGCCATGATTCAAAACGCATATGCGCTTTTTACATGTTCAAGAAAATAAAAAGAAAAAGAAAAAAAGAAAAAAAAATTAGAAATTACCTCTCCATTACATAGTCATAAATTGATGTAGAAATTCTTTTTTTCTTACTTTTTTGTGATGGGCTCATTTTCATTTCCTACATATGCTTATTTTTATGGTTCATTCTTCTTAAACTCACTTCAAGGAAAACATTTTGAATCACAATGAGGATACCTTCTATTATTTTTCTCCAATATAATATAATATATATATATATATATACACACACTACATATTAAACTTTCTTTCATGCTACTTAATTCCATTCTATTTTAGTTCACCATCACAAATATATATTTAAATAATCTCAATTTTCATTTTCCAAAACTTCCGGCCATCTAGTATACAGTCAAAACAAACACCTAAAATAAGAATATTCTCTTAAAAATTTAAAAAAAAAAACTATTGAAACATCAACCATTTAAATTTTTATAATTGATAATCACTATAAAACACATCATTGGTTTGAATAAAACACGTGACTAAGTTATTTTCGATGTAAAAACACACATAAAAAACAATTCCAACAAATTTCTCAATTTTTAGTTTTATACTCCCGTTGTCCCAAACAAATAGTGCAGATTGAATTTTGAGATTTGTACTATTTTTAATAAAAAAAAATCAAAACTCAATATGAACTATTTTTGAGATAGAGAGAATATATCATTATCAATGAATAAACCGGCTTTAAAAAGATTAACACGCGTTATGATTATGAAGAAACTCCCTCTCAATTTCTTTTGACCTGATCATATTAATGTCCTAGCACAAGTATGGGGGGAGAATTCTAGTAACAGTTGCGGGATTTAATTAATCAAATTTTTAATTTTTCTTTCATCTGAAATTCAAAATCTAGAAAATTCGTGGCCACCCCATTCTTAAAATTAAGTTGAAATGGAATATTTTACCAGAAACAGTATATATAATAACTGCATTGAAAGTGGAATAAAAGTTGTTCTATAGTAAAATTTTTAGTTTTCAGGCTTTTCGTTTCGTTACTCAAGCCTGTTTTGTGGGTTGCTTTCGTTTTCTTCTCTATATTTTGTTTCTCAATCTCTCTGTCCTAAAATAAAAATTGAGTTTAATTTAAGTAAATTTAATTCTTAGTTTGGATAGGGAATGACAAACGGTTTCCCCTGAAGGTTAATAAAAAAAAAAAGAGGAAAAGCAAGATCTTCTTTAAAGTTTAAGTAGTCGGTTTTATACTTGGGACTATTAGCAAACTCATCATTCATTCATCATTCATCAGTTAACGAAAAAAAAAACTTTCAGAAAGAAAATGATCATTCATGTTTGTAATTTAAGTTACAAAAACTCTCCGCATTTTCCATCTTCTGCTAAATGAATTGCATGTCTCTTCATTTACTCTACTCAAGTAGTCTCCCCTATATAAATCCCACTTTTCCTTGTCCTAACAATCAAACGTTGTTTTTTTTTGTTTTTTTCCACATTTCCACAAGAACAAATATGGCAACAACAACAACAATGGATCAGCTTCATTTTTCCAAGCTCTTGTTTTCGCTGGTTCTTTTGTGTTCTCTACCAGTTATCATGTGTAGGGAACTGAAGAGTAATCCCAAATCGAAAACCAGTACCCTTTTTGAGAGGATGAAATTAGAGGGAAGAAGCAACACAAATTGCTGGGATTCACTGTTTGAGCTCCAGTCTTGCACCGCCGAAATCGTTCTGTTTTTCCTCAATGGAGAGACATACCTTGGTCCGGGCTGCTGCAATGCAATAAGGACTATTCAGCATCAGTGTTGGCCTTCCATGCTTGGTTCTGTTGGGATTGATCAGGAAGGGAGTGATGTTCTTTTGGGCTACTGTGATACAAGCGATGGCGATGACTCTGGCGACTCGGGATCTCCTCCCCAAGTCGTAGCTCCCATCGCCAATACCACCACATTCCATGTTGTCAATCCTTAGATTATCATCAATAAATTGTAGTATCAACTCATGTTACGCATCACTGTTCTTATTTTTTTTAAGTTCTATCTAGCCCTGGTACTTTGTTGTTAAATTTCGACCTATTGAGTCAGAGCTGTTATAATGATGAAAAGAAATCTTCAAGGCTGAGATAAGGACTTCTTTTTCGGGTGAATAATAACAGCTCTGGTAACTTTATTCTTCAGGCGACTGCTTAGTCAATCAGAGGCAGTCCAAAACCTTAAGATTTCTCAAGGTCCAAAAATTTAGTCGTATTCAAATATTTTGCAATGACACAATATCTACTAGAAGAACAATACTTGATGGCAGGTAATCAGTAAGGTGTTACATTCTTCCAAAAATTGTGAAAGATCATAATTTAGGATTTCAAGTATCTCTGAAAGGCATCCTTGACTTTGTGGAACATCAGCCATTTTGCATCCGGCGCTTTTCGAAGAATTTTTTGGTTCTCTTACTCAGGCGAGTGAAGACAATAACCACACAAGCAAGAAACCATGGTGGAATGGTACCACCGGACATGTTCAACTTGCTTGCCCACCCTGGTGGCGCTTCCTTAATCGCAAAAAGTATCAAGATGGTCAAAAATGCAACTCCAGACACTATCTTAGTCACAGGTTTGATCAAAGAATCCTGAAAAAAGAAGAGTCATGTCAGTTAATATATGTCCATACTTTTACAGTACACATAAATTAAATCTTTCCTCAATTCACAGGAAAACGAGAAGATCGTGAAGTGCTTAAATATTAAACATCAGAGCTGGTTTATGTACATAATTTCACAGTACACATGAATTGAATCATAGAAAACCAGAAAATTGTTATGGGCGTTAACAACTCAATCCAGACAGTTTATATTATACAAATTGTAACTATGTTAACTAAGGAACCACTACACTGCACCACACAACTATACACAAATGACAAAAACAATTAAAAGAAACAAATTTTAAAATAAACTACACTGGTTCTCTCTAGATCCCTCTGCAGTCACAAATGTAAAGATTTCAAAACTTTTGAAATCCAGGACAAATTACTCTGTACAACAACTATGTTGTCACAATTAGGGCTACAAGTCAAAATGGGATATTAAAGAGCAAGATATCAAAAGTAAAAATGAGCCAGTTTTCCAAAATAATTTACTCTTTTGCTCTGTGATTTGTTCATGTTGGACAACAACCTACATGGTATAGTAACTCTATGAATCTTCTTGAGATCCAATGCCTTTAAAGCCTTGCATTAAAGTCAAAGTTCTTAACGTAAAATCCATTCATACATCCTAAATGCTATTTGGTTGGAGAAGCTAGAGAGATAAATTCCATCAGTTGTATTTCAGGCAGAGAGTACGCCTTCATTTAACTGGATTTAACTATCTTCCTCATTTCTCCCCTTTCATTCCCACAAAGAGGTAATTTATGTCTCTTAATTTGTTGCAAGTCCTATCATCAGTCTTAACAACACAATCCAGTATGCCAATGCGGGTTGTTTAGAACCAAATATTAAGTCTTTTGGGAACTTCAAACTCTTTACAGAAGGGTTCAATCTCCAAAATAAATTTAGCATTACAACAGTAAGACTTAGTTCCATGAGACATTACAAAGCAATTTCTGCAATATAATACATCTCGACAAGCAAAGATGATTACTAACAGATATGTGGTGGTCTCGTGTACATCCAATTTTGCGAGCTAAACTTTTGTGAGGAGAATTATAGAAGAATAAAAGGTAAATCGAGCCAAAAGAACAAAGGTTTCTAAGTCTGGATATAATTTATAATAAGTGACAAAATATCTTGCTCTGAAACTCATCAACAGCAGAACTAAGCTATCTAAACCTTTATGACAATCTTTGTCCGCGCGATTTCCAAACTTCCCTAACTGTTCGAAATCTCTCTACTGCATTTAGTACAGAGCACGACTGACATTATTCACCCATGTCAATTCAATCATTAATGAAGTCCATCATGCTAACCTGTGTATCGAGATAGACTGCTTTTCGGCAAACCATTCCCACGGACTTAGTAGCTAAAAGTAATTCAGGATACCAGCTTCAATTAATTCACGATAAAAAACCATTCCCATGGACACAGTAAAGCATCTCTACACCCTGCAGAAAGTGTTGCAACCTATTTCCCTCTATCCTCAATCTATACCAGGTTCAAAAACCGCCATTGGGTTTCCGTTCCAAAGTTCATCAAAGATGGCTACTCAATTTGATGACTTTCTCACTTCACTCCTCAACGGCTCAACCAACAAAATCATGTGCCCACACACTACCATTATTTCAACGCATATAATAATGTAAAAATAATTCAATTCTAAAGGAAGAATTGTCTCAGCAATTCAAACCACACCACCAAGTCCCTAACACAGTTACTAATACTACTAATCGATGCACGGCATCAGATCACTTCATAGTCCAATCGTAATGAATCAATGCATGATCACATCAAATTTACACAGTCCAAACAATCTAAAATCCAAAATTAATCAATAAAAACAGAATAATTTTCATACCAAACAAAAGCAACCACAGCTGAATAAGCCCAAGATTCATTCACAAATTTTAAATCTTCTGCATATTCTTCAAACTACTGTACCTTTGGTTGTCCGTCGAGGTGAAGAACGGCACCATCCTTGTAAGAAAGCAGAGATCGGCCATTCCGGAAGCGAATTGGAACGCCACGGCCCGACCCGGGAGTAAAGGCATAGAGGGATTTGAACCCGTATTTCTCCAGAATATCGCGGACCTCCAATTGGTCTTGTTCATAACCGCCGAGCTTGACTTTGAACACGTCGATCGGACCCTTACCCAGCTTGTAAAGATGGACCTCCACCTCCGGCACCTTCATATGCTCCGTCCGAGCAGTTTCCGGAGCAGGATTTGAGTCGGAGGACAATAACGGAGTTGTCTCGTCGGTTTTCGTTGTGGGGGATTCTTCCTCAATTTCTGCCATAACTTTGTCGTTTCTTTCTCGCCGCCGGAGGAAACAATCGCAGGAGTGGTGCCGGCCGAGTTATACTGATACGGTGGCCGAGGGACCTACTAAGTATGATGTGGCAAACGAGAGCTTCTTTCTGTTTATTTCATTTTTGGCCTAGTTAGAGATTATTACATTAGAGTTTGACCAAATAAATTTAATTCACAAACAAACCTTAGGGGAAAAAAAACAAAAGAAAAAGCTTGTATTTATGTTATAATCCTTCGTCTCAGAATTGTAGCTATGTTATTGTAAAATTACATTAGAATTTAGAACACACAAGTTATAATTGTGTCAGTCGTGTGATGATGTGCAGAAATTTTAACAAACTGACATAGTGTGGCTTCACAAAGCTTCACCACATTGTACCAGTGTTTTTTTACGTATTTTTTTCCCAAAAGTATTGTCCAATTTAAATTTTCAGTTTTAATTCAATTTATATTAAAAATAAAAACTCAAACTGGATAACAATTTCAAAACGGAAGAATGTGATAGATTCTACGTTTTTAATCTCATGTTGCCATTAAGAAAAAAAAAAAATCTTGTTCAACTAATAGAAACTGTTTATTACTCTCTCTGATCTTAATAAAAGACATTTCAATTTGTTCTAGATTTCACTTAGTATGTTTTTCTAATTGAAAAAAAAATTTTAAATTTTTTTTTCATAAATAAGGGAATATAAAGAATATGAAAATATAATTTTAAGGTTCGTTTTTCAATTGAAAAAACATACTCCCTCCCTCTCATAATTTTTTTCCAGTTTGAGTTTTCATTTATAGTTTAAATTGTACTAAAAATGAAATTTCAAACAGTACAATAATTTTAAAACAGAAGGAGTACTAAGTGAAACTTCAGACAAATCAAATGCCTTCTAATAAGGATCGGAGGAAGTATGAAATTATAACCCGCATGGCTCCCTTGAGAATAAAATTTTTTTCTCTCATTTGCTCGTCTCAAATGTTAAAGTTCTTAACCAAGGGAAATACTCATTTTTGTAACCGTTATATTTGCACGGACTGGGGGCTGAACTGAAAAACTTTACCACAAGGCATTTATTAAATCTAGAATCGCAATTTCAATTTGGTTTTTTTTTGTTTTGACTGAATAGCTAAGTGCTTGACAATGTTGTTACTCCATCCCATAATTATTTATCTGATTTAGATTTTCATTTCTAGTTCAAATTATATTAAAAACGAAATTTCTAATTTTACAATAATTTTAGTACAAAGGGAGTATGTGATAATAAAATTTGATTTGGGCGAAATATGTGCATAAATAAGCTGAAGATTAGATATATATGTAGATATATACTGCATAGAAAGTTTTGAAAGTTTACAGGAAATGAAGATATTTGAATGACGATGCAATGTGACACCGTCGAGATTGGCAAGTTGGAAACAAGGTTTTTCTTATAAACAGAAACACAAATTTAAAAACATTGAATGATCATAATTTTATGGAAGAAGAAAAACTCTTCCATAAAATAGCGAATGATTCGAAGGAGGGAAAAAAAATTAAAACATTTTCCAGCTCCTACTAAATCAATTAAATGAAAAATCTTCCACAAAGTTGTCTTTTTTTTTTTTTTCGTTTTGTGTCATAAATGTTTGCAAAGGGGCACCTCATCATTCGGAAGAGAAAACATCCAAGGACAAAGAGGCCAGACTCAAGAAACACTTCCTCCGAATATATCCCTATCATATTGTACCGAGTATTTACTTACCGCAAATCATCTCACATAGCTTCCTCTTCCACACACAAAAATGGATTTTCCTGAGCATAAAAAATACGTAAAAATGAAGAGCACGAAGTAATCCAGAAAATGAACTATCTTAAATATCAATGGGGAAAAAAAAAAAAAAACTTCTCATTAATTCCGATTCAACACAGCAAATGAACGAAAATGCTTCATTAATCATTCCGCCACCAACCAATCTAGATACGACGTGTTTAACTACCATATCAAAAATCATTTACAAAAACGCAACTAGTTGGTTCATACGCGAATTATGAAAATTTTACGTGTTGAAGAGCGAATTATGTCACAAACCAACAAGCAATTTGATGCAAAGACATTTTAAACTTTGCTTCCTGCTTGAAAGTTGCTACTATTAAATATAGACAACCAAAAAGGTTACATTTTAACCTCCTTGTGTTCTTGAAAATATAAAGTTGAGAGTTTAAGTTGCATAAATTTTAGCACAATTTCTGAACTAGCTGATCTAGAAAATTAATTCATATTTTGTGTTGTTTAAGAATATATTCCACGCTCTATTTCCATATTAGCACTAAAGTGAACTAGAAGAAAAATCAAGTAGCTGAGTCTAAGATTCATACAAAAATTATTTAAAGTTTAAACCCACTGATAATTAATTAATCTTAAAACTTTATTAAACACAAGTCCACACCCTAAAGTCAATTGACTGGAAGAATCTTTTTTTTTTTTGGGGGAGGGTTGTTGTGTGTGTTCTAAGTTCTTTTTTAACTTCGTCTCAAATAAATAATATACATTAGTTTTTAAATTTGTAGTGAAATTAGTACAAATTTTAAAACTTAATATAGGTTTTTTTTTTTTTTTGGACAGAGGAAGTATAGTTTTTCTAATTTTATGTGAATCTACCTTACCATGAGGCTTACAGAGCCGGCAAATTTGAGTTAAGAAGAATGTATGGGGATGAATACAAGAATGTTAAGGAGCTGCTTAGAGAAGAGGTCGCGGAGAGGCGGCAGAGGACTGGGAAATTAGGGTTTGTTGGGAAGATCTAAGACCTTTGGAACTTTTGTTAGTTCTTTGTTCCATGTAGCGGTTTGTTAGGAAGATCAATTATAGTATTTTCAATTCCGTTTCCCTAAATTCTCTATGTCTTCTCTTAAATTTAAATTACATGGAGTAGTGTGTAACAGTACGAACACTAGATAAATTTTTTCAACTTCAAAACACTGATCTCCGTGATGATGAATCTGGGACGAGCACCATATAAATAAGTTGTGATTTTTTTTACACAATAAGGATTGACATTGGTAAAATTAAATCTCCAAATTTTTTTTCTCCATTGTCCAAAACGAGGAAAAAGTACTGATCAAAGAGCTCACCTTCTTTTTGTTTGATTGCCAGACAGTATAAAAAGAAGCCCTAATCACACAATCTAGTAAATGTAGACGCAAGTAAAAAAGACTAAACAATATACGAAATTATTCACCCACACAGAATTCCAACTCACAACGTTCAATTTCAAGCCAACATGGGACTTCGGAAAAGCTCAACAGGAAGAAAAAACAATCGGAAAAGCAAGAAAACACAAAATAATATTCCCTCTGTCCCAAAATTATTGTCTAGTTTGAGATTTCATATTTAGTATAATTTCAACTAGAAATGAAAACTCAAACTGAATAATAATTATGGGACGGAGAGAGTATATATGTGTGATCGGAAAGAGAGAGGGACAGAGAGGAAAAATGAATTAGAAAAGATTATAAAAGAGACTATAAGATTTAGAGTGTAAAGATTATTAACCATGACGTAGGAGTCCCTTAGGAATTTTAACCGAGAGTAAATTTGTACTACTAAGGATGGAGTCTATAATGTTGTACGCATTATTACCTCATATTATCCTTGGCTGGTGTAAAGTGGGATGTAGTAGAGAAGGATGGAGTCCAATTTAATGCTACTCCTTCTCTGGTTTTTATAATAAAACATTTTGAGTTCTTCTAAGTTTTATTAATCATATTTTTACAATTGAAATTGAAATCTTAAAAGTACGTTGTAGTAATTGGGAAAGCACAAAAAATGTGAAAATGTATTTTGAAAATTTTATTTTCAATTGGAATAATTTAATAAGTAAATTAAAAAAAATTAAAATACCACTATCAAAAATAACCGGAGTACGTAAATAATATACTCCGGTTCGAGATCCTGAACGAGAAGAAGAAATTTCACAAATGGTTTGATGTTGGAGGCGATCTCCGTGGAGATAGAAGGCTCATGGATTTTGATTGTAATGTTCATTACCTCATAATGTGTATAAGATAGAAAATATGGTCAGATTTATTTAGATGAATATCTTTTTCTTTTTCTAAAGAAACAAATTACGTCTTGAAATATATATATACATGGATTGTTTGTCTAAAATACTAGTAGTAATTAACTTTCTTGAATGTACAGAATAGATCTATATAAAGATAAATTTCTCAAATGGCTAAAATACGTATTACTTGTATTCATGACCACCATAAGAATAAAACTTTCCTGGAATGAATTTTGCTCAATTTATTAACATTAAACACGAAATGATTAATTGAATGTAGTGATAATAATGGACTACTGGCCATTCAAGAGTATGTATGTTGTCTCTGTTCATTAACTTTTCAAAATTCAGTTAATAATCCAAGTTCAATTACAAAAACTCATAAACAAACAAGATAAATCCTCCATTGCATATCAGAGTCCTGAATATTTAATATTGTTCTTTTCCTTTTTCTTTACGTGCCAAATTAATTGAATTTGGAGAAAGACACAATCCATAGTCCATACATTTTAGTGCACCATCAAAAAACAAAAAATAAATAAATAAATAAATACTGCTATAAATTAGCTCAGGTTGTTAAGACCAAAGGGGGAAGACATTTTGTATTATTTGCAACAACCATGCAGCTGGCCAAAGTGCTCATGCTTCCGTTTCTTCTTCTTCTTCTTTGTTCTCTGTCCCTAAATGTCCTTGCCGGCGCGTATGAAACCGATGGGCTAGTTCCGACCAACCCGAGTCCAGCTGACCTGCCGGAAACTCCACCGACATTGAAGTTCAAGAGGCTTGCTCTAACAATCCCGGACATTTTTATTGCTTCCCATGCAAACGTCAACAGGCTGGTTCCTACCGGGCAAAATCCACCGCCATTACCGGATTCTCCTCCCACGGGCCGCCATGTGAATAGGGTTGTTCCCACCGGGCCGAATCCACTCCACCACCATCTCCACCTGGACAGGGTTGTTCCCACCTGGCCGAATCCGCTCCACCACCATCACCTGGACAGGGTTGTTCCCTCCGGGCCGAATCCGCTCCACCATCGCCGGATCTTTTGAACAACCACCCCCAGGATTCTAAGTAATGAAAATTATCTAACACACACCGTAATTGTTATATGGAATTGATTGAAATTTGCAATATGAATATCCTTTATCTGTGTACGTGCTAGTGCAATAATTCGACCAAATCCTTTTGAAATTTTACTGGAATTAATCATCAGATTAAGTA